TTGTAAATGCAGAAAGGCGTTTTTGTCTTCCACAAAGTAATATCAGATACAGCATTCTCAGTCTTGCAAATACTTTCCATTACACTGGTGCGCTGTAATTGTACACAGTTTTCTTCAGGAAAACAGGGCAAACACAAGGTTGGCAGTCTGGGCCACGAGGCTAAATAAACACTGTTTGGCCTGCGATCTCATCATGGTGACCTTCTCCTTCCTGTCTTGTCCTTGTCTGTTAAGCAGGTTGTCATGGCAACTTCCTTTTGCCATCTCTGTTCAGCCTTTTCTTTGTTCTTTTGTATTTTTTTCCAAGTGATTTATGAAAATCAGTATTCGAATATTCTCCAGTGAGCATGTGCATTATATATATTGAACCATAGGATGCCCTCCTTTGCTGAAAGTACATTCCTGTCTTTCACTGTTTACAGTGCAAATGCCAATGGAACCAGCAGGACAAAAGGAATATGCATGTACTACAGGACATGCTGCTTTCTACCTTTTGAAAAACAGGATTTTCAGATTATTTAAGATGCTGCCAGGTTCTTGTGGTCAAAACAAGCACTCTCAGGTTGCTATTAAAAGTCAGAAGATTAATTCAATACCTGCCTCTCTCTCTCTCTCTCTCTCTCTCTCTTTGGCTTCTGCATGATGAATTTTTGTTTTCTAACAAAACAAAACAAAAAAGAGACTTCTTTACCAGAAGTCACTTGATTATTAGCAGATTATACTGAATAATTTTAAGCACTTTTGGCATAGTAATATGCATATTACAATCTGTCCATGACATGTATTTAAGAATTAGAAGCATAATATCCCACTCTGAGAAGCATTTAAAGAGCCAAGTTCATGTCATTCTGACATGTCATTCTGACATGTCATGCAGGCAGAACCCATCAATAGATTCAGTCAGCCAAGTGCCGCCGCCACCGCTGCTAATACCCACATGTATTTTCATTGGGCTTTTGCGGAAGGTCCACTCTCGGCCCACTGGAATGAATGGAAAGTGTGCCGAAGCCGTGCTTGGTGGAGTGTGCCCACTAAGTTTCAAAGCCTCTGGGAATACGCGTGCCACACACCTGTGGTCACTGCCGCTCTCCATGGATGGGTGGCTTCTCCTGGCTGATGCGCAGCTCAGCACTGGTGAGAACGGAGCCCTGGTGTTCTTGATGCTCGATCCACTTGCGGCTGTCCTGGCATTGGCCCGCGTCCTGGTAAAGGCCACCCACACAGCCCTTGGTGAGCATGCCAGCAAGGGCACCCCTGTGGGAGAGCTGCAGACGGGCCATGTTCCTGCCATTATGGGAATGTGCACCCCTCCCACGTTCACTGTGCCCACACCAAGGTTGTGGCTACGGAGTCTGTCTTCTGAGGTCCAGCCCTTGTCTGAATATCGGAGACCTGCCTGCGTGAGTCGTAGATGTTCGGTGATTTTATCTTGTGGGGTTTTGCTGTTGCTGTTTTTTTAACAAAACAATGAAATGCAATCAAAATAAATAGCAGACCAAAATTATGCTTCTTTGAATCAGTTACAGAATACCACAACCCACATACAGCACTGTGTGGAAGTCAAAGACTACACTACATTACATTGGCCGCGTTGAAGTGATCAGAGAAGGGAAAGAAGCCGTGGTGTCTTATTTTTCTGTCCTTGCATGCTGCTCACGCACTGCTTCATTTCCACAGTTGCCTGTGCTGAATGTGGGTTGCTGCCTCATCCAGCCCCAAAAAGAGGGTGTGTGATGAAAGTTGCTTCCAAACTGCCCCGCAACCCTAGTATAAGCCAGGTTGTGAGCCGGTTTGGAATGTCATCTGAACCATCTTCCTTGCCAAAAAAGGAAGGAAGGACAGAAGAAAAGGATAAGTATAAGAAAAGAGAGTATGGCTTGGACACATTGCTACACCATATATATGTATATATCTGCACACAAGAGAAAACACTTATCAGTAAGCATGGGAGAACCCACCCAGCTATGCCCAAATTTTCAGAAGCGCAAAAACTACTTTGAAATAAACTGCTGAGTGTCTCTACCAATCTTAGCAGGGTAATTTTCACCAGCAAAACTGGAAAGACATTCAGCGACTTTCAGTGGCTGAGGAGAAATTCTTACTATATGAGGAGTGTAGGTGGCTTACTATTCCAAATGAAGTGGTTGGAGCTTTCTTCTGCTTTTATTCCTTCTTGAAATATGCAAAGAAGGCTTTATGAGACGAGCAGAGTTACCTCAGCAGCCCGGTAGCATCCTTTTCTGCTTTCGAAATGTGCAACTGCTTAGATTGCCTTGTTTGGAATGGTACGTGACCCACCCCAGCCCTGCTGAAAGTGTAAGAATTTTCAGCCTCCCCGTCCTGCAAATTAGAATCTGAGGAGCCTGTTCCTGCTTAGATGCTGAAAAAGTTCTTCAGTTCTGCACTAGGTTTTGAAATTTTGCTACACGTGTATGTTCAATGGGGTGGCTATCTCAGGTGGAGGATTTTGGATACACTGAATGGTGGTTAATTGTCAGTCATTTTTATTGAAGTTTCTTCCTTTGGAGCAACATCATCTTGGGCTTGTACAATTTTTACATCCTGCTTGTGCAGTTTTTATATTCTGCCTAAACCCTTGCTCTGTGGTGTTCTTGTCCTTCACTTCATGCTTTCATTTTACTAGTGCCACAGATTCCTCTGCTGATAATCATGTGGACTAATATTTAAGAAGGGATCCCGCATCTCTGTGATAGGAGTATATCGAACAGGGGTCCCCAAATTTTTTGGAGATGTGGGCACATGTGAAAATTTGAGAAACTATGTGGACATCCCCACAAAATGCCCAATCATTTGTTTGTTGCTTTGGCATCAACCTGTCCTGTCTTTGAATCTTAGGTTGCATCTTGCTCATCAAAACCTTTTGTTTCTATTGCAGTATCTTTTTTATCAGGGATTATCTGAGTTAGCCAATTGCTGGTGCCTCCATACAGCAAATACTTCTTTGAAAAATATGTTTTGGCAATGTCCAAATATTAGATATTCACAGATATATACATCTTTTAAGCTAATTAAACTTCATGGAAATTAACAAATGGAGCAAGAAATGGATTCTCTCTGGTATGAAAAGGATCAGAGACTAGTATGCATGGTTTGAAGCTGGCTGTTTGCACACCATGTTTGTCCAATATAGACATATCATCCAATGTTGTTTGTTGAACATGGAAGCAAATACTTGCAGTCTGTTCATAGCTGTACAAGAGGAGCAGGGTCATGAGCACAACCCTGAGGCTTGTTCATGTTGCACAAAGCTGTGGTTTGTGTTATATCAACTGCACATCAGCTGCTGAGTATCTGTGATGTCGGTCCAGGCATTCTTTTTATTGAAGGTGTATCTTATGAATGTCGAATAAGCAGGCAAAAAGGAGGATGCTCAAACAGTTCTGTGTGATGTGCTTGGTGAAGGGGTGGCATAAGGATGGAATGCTGAGTACATTTAGTGATATAAATAATGAGTGTTATCTAGAAATCTGAGGGCATTGCACCTTTACGATACTCTGGAATTTTGCTGTCCTTTTGATTCCCCAGTTCCACTGAACCAGCCTGATTCCCTGAAGCCATGTTTCAAACCCACAAGCTTAAAAGCAGAGTTTGTAGGTAGAGGGAACACTGACCTGGAAAACTCACAAGAATGGGTACATAATGATCTTGCACTTGCTTTAGAGGCTGTGTTGGTTCGTGGACTCTTGTTTGCTTAAGCTCCTGATGCCTTACCCAGCTCTTCTTGAAAAGATGAAACAAGTCTTGATTAAGTTAAGAGCTGTGGGATGTCTGAGATGGAGTCCACATAGTCTCTTTGTCCCCTGAAGACCTCCTGAGAAATGAACTACCCCAAAGGTCTTCGAGCTTTCATGACCACAGTAATCATCAGCTCAGCTACTCTGCTTTTGGAGAGCAATCGTCATGCATGAGGATGCAGACTATTTGCGGTAAGCCTGCAGGGCATGGATTTCTGGTAGCACATTGCTGTGAAGAGTTGATTTTTCTGCTGTTATAGCTATGGTTGGATTCAATTTTAGTCCCACTTAGACCAGAGCTGTTGAAATAAATGGGATTAGTTAGACAGACTTTGGATCTACTTCTATATCAATGGGTATGTAACTGTGTGACCACTTCTTATGTAAACTGGCATTAGTCTCCCGCTGCTGCTGCTGCTGCTGCATCTGTGAACAGCAGGAGCTGTCTATAAACCCTGCTGAATATACTGGGACTTGCATCTGATGGAACCTCCATATGATTGCACTGCAAGTTTGTGAGAATTGTTGTTCATACAGTTCTATGATGTGTTAATCTCCCTATAGCTGCTCTCAGGGAAATGCACAATACATAAAATCCAGAACACATAAAATAAAATCCATAAAGTCAAATCAATATCAATAGCAGTATTATAAAACAGTTGGTGAGAAACAGCACTCCATTAAAATATCATGGTTTAAAGCAGGAATCACAAGTTGGTGCATAAATATGAAGATAAAGCTATTTAAAACACAGCATGGCATCAGAAGCAGAGGATTGTTATGGTACAGAAAAGGATTTCAGAAATACGGGGTTAGGAGCCACTCTGGCATAATCAGGATGCGGAGAACTCTTCAGTGCCATTCAGGTACTCCATTTTAAAATCAAGCAGAAAGATCCAGAGATAACCTTAAAAACCCTAAGCATTTTGCCCTGCATCACCCCTGAGTATTGGCCATGTTGGTTGGGGTGATGGAAATTGTAGTCTAGAACATTTAGAGGACACCAAGGTGGGGAAGATGCCCCTAAAAACAAGGGCCACATCTAAGTCTAGGGTCAAGAATCCAATAGAACAGAAGCTTCTGCATGATGTAGGTTTTCTACACCGTTTTGTAACAGGAAAAGCTGCAACTGGTGTTCCCCTGTTCAAGCGTTAAAAGTTCATGAACACTCTCAAGGCCGATGTTTCGCCAACTCTGTCTCGTGTCTTCACCAAAAAGCTCCAAGCATTTTGTTTTGCCTTCCAGGTGCAGCTGTGTGGAGCCAGACAACCCCAGCAATAACACTTTGCAATACTGGCAGGCCCGGAATGTGTCCTCATCCGATATCCCCTGGGGAAACCTAACGGTGACAGTAAGTGTTCCACTGAGCCGTAGCACGAGGGGGTCCAAAGTGGGCACACTGAATTACCGATGGCGGTGGGAGGGGTTGCGATGGCAGGCCCCGCCCCCCAGCCTGTGTGCATCCCTTCTGTACTTCTGAAGGGAGGTGGGGTGCATCTAAACTATATGGTTGCAGTGGTATGACAGGGAGCCCTGAAAAAGCACAGTCCCTGATCCCATGGAGAGCAGCCGTTACGCACACTGGGGAAAGGGCCATGGCCTAGTAGAAGAGCATCTGTTCTGCGTACAGGAATTCCCAGGTTCGGTCCCTGCTGTGCTGCCAAACAGCCTTAGAGATCTGCTGCCAGGCAGTGTCGACAGTGGATGGACCGGCTCGGCACAGGGCGGCTAATTGTGCGCAGTCCCTGCTGTGACTCTGGGGCTGGAGCAGGGAGCACACCCAGGGTCCTGCCTCACATGTGCTTGCTGTGCTTTCTCATACAGTGTCTCACATGGAGCATCTCACATGCAGTAGTAATACGTTTTACTTCTATTTAGTAAAACCACTCCGTGATTATTCCTTCTTGTCATAGGAGCATATATTTGTTTTGTTTTGTTTTTATTTTAAGCTATGCCTGCATATGCCAGCCTGAAAACTTTGTTGTGTACAAACAGGGAATATTCTTGGGGTTCAGCTCACATTCATTAGATAGCAGCTGACTTGACCTAAATTTTACCAGATGGTAGATCTGGAGCTGGCATGTGTAAAAAGAACACACAAGTTCCACATTTCCCCTAAAATACTCTTCCAGATGTTCGAAACAGAGTGAGGAGTTAGCATGGAAAGGTGCAAGCATCCTTCTATATACTTTATTGTCATTAGTGTAGATTGCAACTAGGCTAATGGAAAGCATATCTAGAACAGCTGTGGACTTAATGTCAAACTTGAAAAGCCTCATTTTGCTTGGTTCATTTAAGAAGAAAAGTAGATTCTCCATGCGGTGTATTTTATATTTACAAAGCAAGTGTGCGTACTTAGGATACCTTAACAATATATACAATTAGGGTATATTCAGGGTCAAATTTCACATTAGGCTAAATGTGTCATGTGTAGCTACATCTTCATATTTACTTTAATTACCAGCAGGACAGGGTGTTTTCCACTAGAAATGCAGCATGCAGGGAACTGATCATTTCCTCCCCAGCAAAGAAAGGCTCCTGCTGGTAGGAATGGTACCTCCTTTTCCTCCAAGGCTCATGGCTGTGTGGCAGGGTGCTTGTAGTTTAGTTCCACTTGAGCTGGAGAGGGAGAGATGGCTGCCCTTTCCGCAAGGCCTGTGTTCCTGGTAACACACTCCGATTTACGTACGTTTCTGAGCACAAACTATGTTTGGATCTTTGTTGGACCCCTGGAGATAATACCTTCAACTGCATGCTCAAAATGCTGCCCACCCAGGGTTGGTGCAAGACTACCTGTCCCCTTCCCCTTTCTTTCTTCTACCAGCACCACCACCTGCCTTCTTTCACCATCAAAGAATGGCTTGTTTTAAAAAGTAGAGCTTATGGTCCAGTACTGAGCTTGTTCAAATATAACAACAAGCTCAGTATTGGGGAAGCAGAAACTAAATCCTGGTTAAATTTCCTCCTGGCAGGAGAGGAGTGTCAGGAGTGTGGAAGCCCGAGGCCTTATTTGGGCTCACAGAGGCTTGTGAAAGCAGCACTAGATCCTGGCTTGGCATTATGTGTGAACCAGCCTGGTTACTAGGCTTGCAACTTTTCAACAAAACATCTGGAGCGTTTATGGTCTCAGCTAAGCCATCTGGTGTCCTCCAGATGTTTTGGAGTGCAGCTCCCATCAGTCCTAGCATGGACAGTACTCAGGGATTATAAAATCCAGAATATTTGAAGTATCCCAGGTTGTCTACTGCTGGTCAGTTAACTGGATGCCACAGCAATGCATGTATCCAGTGGATCTTTTTGTTATCATTTACTTACTGTCAAGGATTATGGGAGTAGACCAAAAACCCTGGAGGCCACAGGTTTGTCTCACTCTGTCAGTTGTTGGATGTTAAGGTTAGCATTTATTAACTCTCCATTAAGAAAACTAAGATCATGGCATCCAGTCCTCTCACTTCCTGGCAAATAGATGGGGAAGAAATGGAGGTAGTGACAGATTTTATTTTCCTGGGCTCCAAGATCACTGCAGACGGGGACTGCAGCCAAGAAATTAAAAGATGCTTGCTCCTGGGGAGGAAAGCTATGGCAAATTTAGACAGCATACTAAAAAGCAGAGACATCACCCTGCCAACAAAAGTGTGTATAGTCAAGGCCATGGTTTTCCCAGTTGCAATGTATGGCTGTGAAAGCTGGACCATAAAGAAGGCTGAGCGCCAAATAATTGAGGCCTTTGAATTGTGGTGCTGGGCGAGGCTCCTGCGAGTCCCTTGGACCGCAAGGCGATCAAACCAGTCAGTCCTAGAGGAGATCAACCCTGACTGCTCTTTAGAAGGCCAGATCCTGAAAATGAAACTCAAATACTTTGGCCACCTAATGAGAAGGAAGGACTCCTTGGAGAAGAGCCTCATGCTGGGAACAGTAGATGGCGAAAGAAGAGGGGGATGGCAGAGGATGAGGTGGCTAGATGGAGTCACTGAGGCAGTTGATGTGAGCTTAAGCGAACTCCGGGAGATGGTGGAGGGCAGGAGGGCCTGCAGAAATGTTGTCCATGGGAGCGCAATGGATCGGGCATGACTTTGCGACTAACAACAACAACAGGTGTGGGGAAATTCATGAATGATTCCTCAAGATGCTTGCAGTTTGTTTCAGGGAGTCAGAACTATCCAAAGCTGCACCTGCTGAAGGGACATCAGTTTGGAACGATGCACCCCCCACCACCTTTCTATTTTAGTGTTGTTCAGGCAGTCATCTGTTCAGCAGAAAGAAGGAAAGGAGCATTCCAGGCCCAAAGGAACCCATACCTGTATGGGCCGGGGTGCCATTTTCTGACATATCCTATGTATGGTTCATTTGTCTGTGTGTCACCTTATATTTTTAACAGTTGCATTAAAGTTTAGACCTTAATATGGAAATACATGACTCAAAAAGGACTTACATATGTTCTTTTTGAAAAACCATGTGGGACTCTGTCAAAAAACCCTTTTAAAGGAGCCGTGGCTTTGACAGGTAGCTGTAAAAAGGATGCAGCTCTCTCTGTTCTGTCTTCCAGAGCACCCAGAATCCTAAGAAAGGGTCAAACGGTGGGAGAGCCTCAAAGGAGGCTGGCCCAAAGAAGCGCCTTAGAATCTCCCTGTAAGTAGAGTGTCTAATTGGCCACTCCCTTTTAAGTGAACAGAGATCTCTCACAGCTTTGGATTCTCCTGACGGCTGTCAAGACAAACCAAAGCCAAAAAGAAAGGCCTTGGTAGCTTCTTTGGGTCAGTGCCCATGAGGCGCACCTGCTGCACTTTAACAGCACCCCGGTGTCCCCAGACACTGCTCAGGTGAGGCAAGCCATTTCAAATCCACAAAAGTGGCAAATGTACCCAAGCAGAAGTTCAATTAAAGTAAAAAATGTGCACTTTTGGGGTATAATTTTTAAAGGGGTGATAAACCAGTCACAGCCCTTGCAATATGTTACTTGGGTTCTTTGGAAGGGCTGGCACTAGCTGTCAAATCAGCTTACTTTCTGAAATCACGTGCGTGCGCACACATGAAATGACTGAGCCATAGTGAGCCCCAAAGGGGTGGCAACCGCAGCAGAGGCCACAGAGACGCTGCTCGTACTTGTGAGGTGGCTGGCAGTAGGTGGCCTGTGTAAGTCCTGCAAGAGCAGCAGGGGAGTTCTGCCACTCTTACCCAAACAGTCCCTGGTGCCCACAATGGGGTTGATTGTCCATGTCTGGGCCAGAAGACATCCAGGTGGGGTTCACCAACCTCTCGAGCAAGCTATGGGCTGTCCGAGTGGTGTTTTGCCCTCAAACAAGCCACCCTGTAGAAAACAGCCCAAATTCACAGGACATGACAGTCCACCATGGATCCTGTACCTCTTGGAGGAGGGAGCTATTTTCATCTTGCTGTTCTGTAGGATCTTCTGGCCTTTAGAACAACTTTTTAGGGCTGCAATAGGAAGAGGGATACAAAAAACCCCACTGTGCATGTGGAATGCAGCAGTTGCCCCTTTGGATCCAAGCCCAAATGTTTACTTTGTGTTGCCAACATTTATAATAAAGACTCTAATTACAATTTATACTGTTTTCACTGCAATGCAAACAATGATGTGGAGTCTGTTGCCACCTTGTGGCAAAGCAAGCTGTTTTTCTGCACTGAAGAACCAGCAGGGGTGATTAGATCCTCTAATCTGTCGTTTTATATAACATAGGAACTGGGGTATGATCTTGGAACTAGCTTCTTGGCACTAATCCAGAGAAACTGTTTTTAGGATCTAAATTGTGATTGCTGCCCAACTATTTCTGCACAAAGCCTAGTTTTTATGTAAGTAAAGAGAAACATATTAATTTGTATAAGATTTGAACTCCAAAATTCTCAATCAATTGCATGTTAAGTCAATCAAACAGCCAAAATCACTATACATAAATATGTAATACCTTTTGCTAGCAAAATCAAAGGAAGTACAGGAGTAAATAAGAATAAAGTGTAAACAATATTTGGAAAAATAACAACAGCAAGTTTTTTGTAGTGGTTGGTATTCCTGTTAATTTTTGTTTTTGCTGAGCTAGTTTGACCTTATTTATTTATTTAAAACATTTCTATGCCACCCCCATCGCAACAAAGCCTCAGGGCGGCTCACAAAGAATGCATAAAAACGTACATAAATAATAATAATATAACAATTTAAAAGGAAAAAAAAATATGGCTAGGATCCAACTATGGCCCAGCACTAATGCTAATGATTTTGTGCTAGATAAACCCATGCAAATCTATACTTTTCTTCATTGCCCTCGCAAGTGCTGCATACACAAAACAAGCAATGGAATATGAGAGCTCACTGTCACTAGTGCTTGCACTGGAACGGAGATCCGACCCTATAGGATTCACTGGGAGTTGTGATTATTAACCTAAGTACCTTCCAGAAATATCAAGTGCCCATTTGGAAGTTTCCTTAACTACACGCTTACTGTAGTTCTCATAGATTCAACACATCTGCATTTGGGGCCATTCTATCATGTTCTGGCATAACCACCTTCACTGATGAGCATGAATAAGTCACGATGGCCCAGTTTGGATGTACAGTCCATGGATTGCACTATCATAATTTATTAACTGAGAACATGATGGTGAGATTGTGCATTCCTTCCATCTTTGGCAATTACATATCTCTTTAATTAAACAACAGCTAGCCATGACAGTCCCAACGGGGAACTGTGGCTTAACCGAGGTTGACTAACCAGTGTCTGGATCCAGGATCTCTCTTTTGTGGGTGAAAGAGCACTGTTCATGGAAGATGCCTTCACTCAGTTTTTAAAGATTTCCCTCCCTCCCTTTCTTCCTTTTTCCCTCTCCCTCTCCCTCTCTCTCACACACTCCACAGCTCACCCCATTCAGCTGTGTGGCGCTTTTGGGGGGCCATGGAGAGGAGGACAGGGTGAAGCCTGCTTCCAGTGTCACAACCCTGAATATGGATTCCAGCCATGGAATTTTAAGCCGTGTTTGAAGCTGATCGAAGACGGGACGCGTGTTCTCCTCTCTCCTCTCTCCTCTCCAGCTAGGAATTCAGCATCCAGACTGTCCAATGAGTGCAGGGGTTCAAGCTTAAGTGCGAAAGCCAGATGTGCAAAATACACCTTGCGTGTAGCCATCTCTTTTGACAAAGCGTGTTTTGTTTTATCTATCACTGCTTTGGGATATATTAATCTCGCTGAGGGTGCAATCCAGTATCTTCTGCTGCGGACGCGCACAAGCCTCTGATCTCATCTGATGTACGAAGCAGGGGTGGGGGTGGGGATCTCCACCACGGCAGCACTTGTGCTGTGCATTTCATCCAGGGGGCTGTTTCTGCTGCCTTGCTGCAGCTCCGGAGCGGGGGAGAGAAGGAGGCTCGGCACTGACGGCAACCGGCACGAGCTGTGTGCTCCGGCCTGCTCTGCTCCCCACCCCGGCACACCCCCTTTCCTCTACGCTGAAGCCCAGTTGCCTCCTTGGAGAGGCTGCTGGCATGGCCCTTAACACACTGGGCGCAAGTGGGGCCCTTCAGCACCCTGGCTGGGTGCCAAATGAGCCTGTGCCCCCTCAGACAACATTAGGATCCTGTCCTAAAAGGACTATACTAAATAAATACTGGTGTGTGGTATGGAGGATGAACTTTATTATTGTTGACTTTGGCTTACCAACTGCTTCTGTGTGCAGGATGGACTGTTCATTCTGAAACAGATGTTTGTTTTATTCCCTTTCAACCCTTCCAGGCATGATAAATGGATAAACACAATAATGTTTTAGGGCCGTTTTGCACTTTATATTAGACACAAACTTTCAAATGCCACAGACTTTGCACTCAACAGAGAGCTGTAACCAGTCCTAGGTCTCAGGCAAGTATACAGCACACCTGTTTTCAAACCAATACTGTGTGTCAAGGTGTGTACCTTAAACATCTTATGTGGATGCCTTTGTGAAGGGGCTTCAGTGCCAGGATTTTAAAATAAAAGCCACTTGGCTCTTTAGTTGATCATGGAATGTCTCTCAGTCTTCTGTTTCTCTTTAAATATGATCAGTTGCTCGAGCATAAAATGTGCCTTTAATTTCCATGTTAGGAATGTAAAACGTGGCAAGGGAGATTTGTAGGACGTGCCTGTGGACATCATGGTCCTTACACCCCAGATGTGCTCTTCTGGTCAGTCATCTTATTCTTTTCTACAGTGACACTGTCCTCCACACTGAAGCAGTTCAAGACCAGTCGCTATTTCCCAACCAAGGTAACTTGAATATATTTTAAAGCCAAATCCACTTGCGTACAAGCACAGGATGCAAATCTGTCTCTATGGATATGAATAACTCCCCTTGCATTGGTATTGGTAGAGCCAGGTTTGCACCTGTAATATTTTGTAGCTTTTTAAATACATTTAATGACAGCTCAATGTGAGAAAGGAATATGTGAGGATGGAGTAAATCGTGTTTTGTCCTGCCCCTTTTTTAGATTTGAGCAGGAAGTTATCTATGGCAACGTACATCAAGCCATTGGCTGTGTTCAGTCAGAAATGTAATATGTGGGTATAACAAACTGTAATGATCAGCTCCCAAGGGAGAAAAAAACCTTCCATGCTATCCAAATTAGCAAAAGTGGACATATATCAGGTGCCTGAGGGCCCAAGTCCAGTTTGGAGAAGCTGGAGGCACAGGTGGTAGGCCCAAATACCGCATAATTTAGCTTAAAGGCATTGTTGCCAGTAAGTAAACCTCAGGAGAAGCAATTCAACCATTTAAAAATAAGGACAGAGTTGCAAAACATCCAGCAAATCACCTGAGTGGCTGAGGAAAAGGAAGGGGTCCAGGGATTGGGGCAGGGAACCCCATGTCCACCATATTGGGAATCTAAGAGGGGTGGATTTGGCTTCCAGCACTGAGGTTCTGCACCTGAAGTCAGACGCCCCCCTGCTTCTCTGTGCTGTGGGCCAGTGCTCAGGTTTGGTGGCTTGCGGCGTGCTCTCTTTGTAGTCAGGCCACCTCTGCAAATTATGCCCTGTGGCATTCCAGAGCCCCAAACTATTTGGTTCTTCACCTCATTTTAACACAGCCATCAGGTATCACTTTGCAATCTACACACTTCCCCAATTGAAATGACTTGGAACCTGAGAAATGCAATACAAATAATTTAAAACTCACTTCGATTCATTGCAATGCTTGCTTGCAGCCCTCGCTTACTTGCATGGGCAAATGTTCAACGAATGGCACTCCAGCCATAATGATTAAACTCATTGCCTACGTGTGGTTCAGTAGCAGCCATAGGAGCCTGAGAGACCCTTTCCCTCCTGTCGAATGGCTCCATGGGGCTTCTGGCTCGCTGTATTTGTGCATTGGAGCTGGCAGAGACTGGCTGGCTGCAGAGATGCGGTCTGATGGCGGCGGCCTCCTGTGTTCATGGAAGAGATGGCATTGGCATGCAGCTCTCCTCTCAATGAAAGGATTCGTTTTGATCTCTCATTGTTTCCAGGTTCGTTCTGTAGTGAGTGACTTTGCTGTCTTTCTCACCATCCTGGCCATGGTGCTAGTGGACTACGCCCTTGGGATTCCATCCCCAAAGCTTCAGGTTCCAAATGCTTTCAAGGTAATTGCTTGCCCAGTCATACCAGGCTTCACGGAAAATGAAATTCGCAACAGTAAATGATCTGTAGGGGTGTGTGTGTGTGTGTGTGTGTGTGTGTGAAATCTCATTAATATGGATCTACCTGTAATATTTTTTAATGATTGGGTGATACCGAAAATACAAACTGTCGTAGAACAGTGTGTGGTTGAAATGGGGTGGACCAGGAAATGGACATACCTAATAGGAATAGCTTAGTTTAATAACTGCAGTTGTTCCCATATTAGGACCTTCGAGATCCTTGCAGTACTAATAGCAGAATTCTATGTATGTCCAATGGGACTTATTCCCTTGTAAGTATATTTGGGATTGCAGCTTCAGCTACCATCTGGCATATTTGATGCTTGCAAAGCCCTGAAACAGCATGCCTGGCATTGCATTTGCCTTTACCTTCTACATTTTGCTTTGAACCAATGGTAGGGGAGACGGATGCTTTGCTATTATTCTGAAGACCTTGGCAAATGCTCTGTAACATTTTGATCTAAGAAATTCTAACATTTTGAAATGTCTTAGCCCACCAGAGATGACCGTGGCTGGTTTATCACACCTTTGGGACCCAATCCTTGGTGGACAGTGCTAGCTGCTGTAATTCCAGCTCTTCTTTGTACTATTCTGATATTTATGGATCAGCAGATTACAGCCGTTATTATAAATCGAAAAGAGCATAAATTAAAGGTAAGGGGGCCATGCTGCAAAAGTTACTCGGATCTTTCTGGTTATTATTCCATAGTTTTGTTTAGTATGTTTTTTTTAAATCCTGACTTCCTCTTCCAAAGGCATCTGGAATACAGATATGTACACATTTTCCTCAAATTCATTTCAGGTGCAGATGCGGGTGGGCTCTGGGCAGAAGCAGTCTGGTACGTACGGAGATAGACAGGGACCTGGGTATCTTAAGGTCCGCCTCCTTCCTCGTGTTCTTTCCTGCATTCTTTGGTGATTATCCGAGGCACAACTTCAAATGTCCCAGCTTCCTGCAAGCAGGCAGGCAGGCAGGCAGGCAGGCAGGCAGTCACGAGGCCTTTACATTTCTGTGAATAATGATGCCCTCCTTGCGGAATACTCCGTTGACAGAAATTTGTCCGGGACTGTTTTAGGCAGTATGTACACATTTGGTTCTTTAAAAAGGTTCATGGTTTTGGGGGCTCTTGTGCAGCTTGTTTATTCCTTTGTTTTTAGCCCTTGCAAATTATACTGCTGGTTTTACAAACTGTTCTTATTGTTATTTATTAATCTGGATTGTGCTTTAAGTATAACTGTTTGTTGGCTCACTGCAAACAGTCAAGCAAACAGACAGGATAATTTTTTTTAAAATGAACGAACAAAGAAAATGGGTGGCAATTCATTAAATTGACTGGAGGAACATAACTGTGCAGGAGACTCATGAACACATTAATTCACCTGTTGTGCATTAATTTGTATGCCAAAGTTTATGACACAGTGTTGTCCTATGTGCACAGTTTGGGGAAACTGATTTATCTTTAATAGTTAATAGCCTACACATCCCAATGTTTGGCTGGATTTAAATGAAGGTTAGGCTGGATACAGGGAGAGATGAAGGTAGTTAGACGATGGCATTGCTTCCTGCTGTATGCAGATAGTTTTTTTTTTAAATAAAACCTGCAGAACCTGTTTATGCAGGGCAAATGTGGGATGAGCATGCAGGAGGCAAGCAACAATCTCTCTCTTAAAGAGCCTTCAGATCACCTTAAAAAGAGCATAGAAAGCAGTATTGCTGGCCTCCCACCCTCATCATTTGCAGCATGTTAGAAAGTTAACCCAAAGGGTTACCCGTTCCCCAATTTTAAAAAGTGTTTCTACCTGGTTGCTTTCTATATCACAGGCCGCAAGGTAAGTGGCTAATCCAAAAGCTAATTTACAGTTGTAGGATCTACAAGGAGCAGGTTTGTGTTAAATTGAATGCACCCAGTGAAGGAGTCTCTGGTCTCTGAAAGCTGCTGCCACAACTAAAGTGTTAGTCATGATGCGCTGCTCTTCCCACCTGCCGCTGCCTTGCTGCTGCGTCTTCCAGACGTTGCATCTTCCTTTGTTTCCTCTCCTGTCCCACCCTCTGCTCCTCTAGTGGAGCATGCAAAACTGTACCAACCTTACGGTGGCTTGATCTGAAAGCCCCACACTTCCAGTGAATTTTTCCACTTAAGCAAGAAGCATCATTTTTCTGACAAAAGGCTTGTGCACAGATTGTTCGGCGTCTTCGACTCCTCAGTAAACAGCAATGCAGTCTCTTAAATCACATTACAAATGCAATTTCAGCCTCCTCTTTGCTGTGCAATGACGGAGTTGCTCCAAATGTTTTTCCCCGGTGTTTTTGTTTTTTTGCCCTCTTTGTCAGTCAGCCTTCTTGTGTCAATCCATAGCGTTCCGTGTGGTTAACGTGACAGATGCAGGGAGCTGCGGCCAAGCTTTGGAATGTGTGGTATATGTGTGTGTGGGTTTTTCCCCTCTTTCTTTCAGCACTGGCATGTGGCAGTCAGATGGTCTTTCTGGCTGCCCTCTCGCCTTCCTGCATATTCATTTCTTTCCTGGGGGTCTGGTGCAGCGCATCACCTGTTGCCATGCTTCCCTTGCCTCCCATATGGCACTTTCCTCAGGCTTGTGCGTGAATGTGAAGAAAGCTTGAATCCACACCCTGCTAAAAGCAGCAGACTTGCCCTTAAAGCAGCGTGTCCCTTTTGACGCTGGAGAATTCGGGGGGCTACACGGCTGATGTTCACAAGAGCACAACTGCACGTTAAGGATGAATTCCGGTGCGGGGGGGGGGGATGAGCCCACCCTCAAAGTCTGACTCTGAGATCTGATGCCTCTTCATCGCCGCTCTGCTACTGGAGTGCTGCTGATTGAGGTTCTGCAAAATAAATCAATGCGTACACAAATTGGCATTTCAAAACTCCATGTAATATTCCCGTGGTATCTCCATCAGCATGCAAATAGACTTGTACTTGCACTCCCTGACTTCCTCTATCTGACATCCTCTTCCTCTTCCTCGGCATCTCCCCAAATCTGCCCCAAAGATTCCTTAGTCCCTCAGAGCTCACTCCAGTATTGCTGGGAGGCAGAATCATTTTCTGCCAGTATTGATTTTGCAATGGAGAAGATGCCACTGGCTTCAGCCCACTCTGTCGTGGGAGCAGAAGACAAGTGGCCCTCCAGATGTTGCCGGATTGCAATTCCATCTGCTCCACCAGCATGGCCAAGGTCAGGGATGGTGGCAGTTGTAGTCCCACAAACGGAAGGGTGATGGGTTCCCCACCCCTGTCTTTTCTACTGGAACTTCCTCCTAGAAGTAGCCTTTTGTGGTTTCAGTTTTATTTTGCAAATCTGAGAGTGGGACATAGATCCTCACAGTGAATTCGTGATCCTGATAAGGTCAGTGGTCCAGTGAGCTCTTTGGAGGATTTTATAGACATCCAGCAGCAATTAAAACAATTCCATTGTAATGACTGGGACAGCTTAAAGCAGGATGAGCATTGGCCGTCTGATACCTGCAAGGAACGTATGGATTGAAAAAAGGCCTTTTCTCATGCAAGGAAGCTTCAAGAATCCAATCCGGCCATATAGATTATGCCACCAGAGCCAGGAAAATCTGCAGCACAAGCATAGCGCAAACATTTAGCACCCTTTCCCCTGATCACTCACTTTGTTAAACTAGCTGCTCCTTCTGACTGTCTGCTGTCGAAATGTTTCTGCACATCAAAGGCAGGTGTCCCCTTCTGTCCCTGTAACTTTGTTTATTGTCCTCTCTCTTTTAACAGAAGGGCTGTGGCTATCACCTGGATCTGCTGATGGTGGCTCTCATGCTTGGCGTCTGCTCTATCATGGGCTTGCCATGGTTCGTTGCGGCCACTGTCCTCTCCATTTCTCACGTGAACAGCTTGAAACTGGAGTCAGAGTGCTCTGCCCCTGGAGAACAGCCCAAATTCCTTGGCATCCGTGAGCAACGGGTCACAGGGCTCATGATATTTATCCTTATGGGCTCGTCCGTTTTTTTAACCAGAATTCTTAAGGTAGGTTCATGCTTTGCAAAACCAAGGGGAATGTGAGGGAGGACACCAGGCAGTGCTGATTTAGACACAAGGTCTATCCAGTCCGACATCCGTTCCCACAGTAGCCGATCACATGTGCCAAGGGAGGCAGGCTTGACCTCCGCAGCACCCTCTTGCATCTGTTCCCCAGCAACTGAGGTTGAGAGACATACTACCTCCATGACTGGAGACTGCAGATGGCCATTGGTAGCCTTATTCTCCATGTATTTGCCTAATCCTATTGTATAACCATCTAAATTGGTGGTCGTCACCACATCTTGCAATAGCAAATTCCATCATTCGTCTTTAGACTTCATGAAGAAACCTTTTATCTGTCTTAAATCTTCCACTATTTAGCTTCACAGGATGACCAAGGTTCTAAAGGGCGACTACAAGAGTCTTCTTACCCACTTTCTCCATCCTGCACAAAGTGATACAATCCTCTGTCATGCATATACACACCCTTACTTGAAGCGTTGCTAAAGCAAAGGATCTTCAAGATTGCAACCTTTCCTCATAGGGAATTTGTTCATGCCATTTGGTCATAGGACCATCAGGCACATACAATTTTAATTTTCACCCATTCATGTTTTCTAGGTTTTTAATGAGCTGGTGTCCTTTCCTTCATGGAAATTCCCATCCAGATGAGTGACAAAGCTCATGCTTGTGTACAGAAGGTTCCAAATTCAATGTGTGGCATCTCCACATTTTTTTGTAAAAGAGAACTCAGCTGACCTGCCAGCTGTCTAATTGTCAATAATAAGTGGTCATTTATAGTTCGTATATTTAATCTATTTTTTAAAAAAAATGCTTAAGCAAAACAATGAAGAAAAAGTGGTCACAATCCAGATGCTAATCTCTAAGATTTTCCACACCCATAATAGCAGCCTAGCCATTTAGTTGGTAAGCTTCTTTCTGCTTGAGTCCGCAACTCCTGTTGTATGTACATAATTTCCCGCGTAGTCCTTATGGGACCCTTGGGATGCTTGTTTTTCCAGAGTTCCACTGGTAGCCTTAGGCAAGCCATTCTCTGCTGGCCGAACCTACTTTAAAGGTTGTTAAGTGACATAGCATGGGTGAAGCTGCCGTACAGAAGAACAGACACACATGAAGGGATAAATGCAGCATGACCTCAGTGGAGCGCCCTTCAGGCAAAGGGGACTTCCTTTCTATCTCTCCTGAAGCCCCCTGCACACACCCTCCAATCAGCACCAGAGGGGCTCCTGAAAGGGCTTTGGGGTGGGGGGTGTGTTTGATTCACAAGCCACATTGCCATCCGTGAACTGAGACTTCCCTGCTTTTTCCTTCTCTTTGTAGTTCATTCCCATGCCAGTACTTTATGGTGTGTTTCTTTACATGGGTGCCTCTTCTCTCAAAGGAATTCAGGTAAAGTGGAGTATGCAAAGCATCTCTTATCCTGTGGAAATTTCGGCCCTTTCGCTTTATTATTACTTGTATTCTATTTTGTCAAGTTTTACACAGAAATTAAAAGGGCATAACCAGGCTAATATAAGCTAGCCATTTTATTTATAGTTTAGAAATAGCCAACCTTCAGCATGAGTTCCACAAGTGCAGCTGGCAGCAAGAGTCTGCTTGTGATCCAAAGCCATCATCCTGCCTTCCCCACCAGCACTATGTACCACTTACTTATGGGTTTGAGAGTCTACAGGCCAAACCATGAAAAGGCTGGTGAAGTGATTCAGAAAGTCCTGTTCATGCATAGCACGAATCTGCCAAACTGATGGGTTGTCATGCATAAACAGTCACAGCAAACCATGGATTAACAGCTGGGTAGTTTCACCCCTCCAGGGAGTGTGAAGTAAAAGGAAAAGTAGGCGTGCTGTTGGCAGTGTGCCCACCCATGCAGGATAACCCATCAGTTTTTAAGCCAATGGGTTGGCATCACACACATGCCAGCTGTGCATATCCAATCAATGCGTGTTCCCCTTGTTTTCTCTTGGCAGATCTGATCATAGCATTCACAAATTCAGCACCTCTTCCAGTTAATGATATAGAATATGCAGGTTTCACACAGGGAATGTGAAATGGTGCGTATTCCACCACTGCACAGAGGGGAGCAGTGAGATTTGGTACCACTTGTGGCTGAATTTTATCCTTGCCTTTTCAATACTCTTTGTTAGGAAAGTTGCCCTTGCATCTTTAAGTGTTTTGCACAGAGAGCTCTGGAACAATTGTCTCAGTTTCTGTGCTCAAAGAAATGCTTCTCTTTTGTCAGCTTTTTGACAGAATCAAATTATTCTGCATGCCTGCCAAACACCAGCCAGACTTCATCTACCTGAGGCATGTTCCTCTTCGAAAGGTCCATCTCTTCACAGTTATCCAGCTGAGCTGTCTAGTGCTGCTGTGGGTTATCAAAGTTTCAAGAGCTGCTATCGTGTTTCCTATGATGGTATGGATCTGCTTCCTCTAGCCTAGAAGACTGTAATTAATTTTTACTAAATGCAGTGCTGCAAAAACTAATTAATGTGTAGTTTGTAATGGGAAAACTCCACATTTGGTATAAGAGTCAGGGGTTCTCTTTCAGATGTGTGCATGTGCATACACATCCGTTCTCTTGAGTGTTACTGTGTGATTTCACAAAACTATTTCTGGATTAGGCCCATGGTCTCTGAGTTAGCACATGGAAGAACAAATGTATTATCCATACTTGTCAGCCATATTTTAACCATGTTATAAATATTCCAACTAGGTCTTGGCCTTGGTGTTTGTCAGAAAACTCATGGACCTATTTTTCACCAAACGTGAGCTGAGCTGGCTGGATGATTTGATGCCGGAAAGCAAGAAGAAGAAACTCGAAGATGCTGAAAAAGAGGTAGACCTGGGCTTGCCTTTGTTTCTTAGCAAAATTCACTTCCTAACCCTTTTTGTGTGAATTAATGTTCTAAATTTTGCTTTATCCAGGAGCAGATATGCTTGCAAGTTCACGCTGTAAGCATACGTGCTCAATCCAGCAAAGGAATGTTTTGTAAGTTGTGCAGATCTATCCAAGTGCATATTTTGATGAACTCTGCACATGAATGAGATATGTAGGTATCTCTGTTTGGAGTGCCTAGAGGTGTGCCAGTACTATGATCTAAAAGCTGCTTAACTCAAAAGGGGCACACTCTAGCCATAGTTGGTGACACAGTGCCCAGAGTGCTGGATTGGAATCTGGGAGATCAAGGTTCTAGTCCTCAGTCAGTCGTGGAGGTCAGCTGGTGACTTTGGGCCAGTGACAGGCTCTCTGTCTAACCTCCCTCAAAGGATTGTTTTTGTGAGGATAAAATGGAGAGGAGAACCTTGCATTCCTTGCAAGAGGAAGAAAGGTAGGGTATAAATGTAATGCAGTAATAGTAATAGTAATAACCTCCTAGGAGCCATAAAGAGATACATGACTCTAGTAATCTCCTGTGCATAGACAAAGATGGGTTTGAGTGTGGGAATGTGTGCATTTGGCGTGCAATGTGTCAGCGTGCAATGACTTGTCTGTTGCCAGGGGGATGGTGAAACTTGTGCCTCTCATTGGCACACAGGCACACTCAGCCCTGAAGTGACGCGCTCTGCGTCTTACAGTGTAAAGTGAGAAAAATAAAAGAGGGTTTCTCATGATTGTCACAGGAATCCTTTGCTTTAAGTCTGCTTTTCTTGCATCACTTGCTCTTTTAATTTCTAGACCTGAATGATGACGGAAAAGAAAACTAGGAATATACATGTCCTTTTTTATTTTTTTGCGTCTACTTTTATTTTCAGTTGCCATCTTTTTAAGAGATTATTTTTACATATTATGGCATTGCTAAATATTTGAGGCTATTATTAAACCTGCTCAGCTGTCAAAATCCTGGAAAGCTGTGAAGCCTGAAAATGACAAAATTAACTAGGAATAAAAATTCTGACATGGGGCCTCTGGAATTTAATTTGAAAAGCACCATTATGCTGGCTTTAAAAATAGAAATGGGCTCTACATGCAAAGAGAAATGAAGGTGACAAGAATTTTTAAAATGCTGGTCTTGATAGGATCAAGATTTTTATTTTATGACTGGCTCTTCAGTACAAAGAAATCCTCAGCTGTGAAGGATTTGAAATGTCAGGGCAAGAACCGGGATTTTGTGTTGGTTCTGCCAAGAGTCCATATTGGAACGATAACGCAGATTAGATCTGCTGCACCCCCCAAGCCCCCAAAATGGTATTCCTGGGTTTCCTTTGGGAGCCTCCTCTCCTCATAAAGCGTTGTGTCCAGGCAAAGTGAGTTGCACTGGTTAATTAGTTTCTCATTGAAATCACTGGGATTTATGTTCAATCTAATTAGGTTTTCCCTAATTAATATGCTCAGTTAAGTTAGTTTGGATCACCCACCCAATCCCTTGAGTCTCTCTTTTTTCACACAGACCAAAATCCTCATGTTGGAAATAGCAATGAGCTGCCTATTCCCACTTGGGTTGTGGAGCGCAGACAGTCCTCCATGATAATTGCTTCTAGGACAGCTTTCCCCAACAGGCGCCATCCAGATGTCTTGGAGTTCCATTCCCATCAGCCCCAGCCACCGTGGCCAATGGCAAGAATGCTGAGAGTTTTAATCCCACACTCGAGAGAGGGCAGGCTTGCGAAAGGCCCTTAGCTGATTCCTTGTGATTTCCATATTATTGTGGTATGTTTGTGGATGCCACACTAGCTGCATATTGGCTCCCAAGCCATGCTTAAGGTTTTGTCGCTGACGAACATGGCCCAGAACAACTTGGAAAGCAGACCTTCTGCCGAGGCCTTCCTGATCATTCTGTGGCCAATGGGATGCCCCCGGGCAATGGTGCGTAAGCGGAGTTGGCACCCACCATTTGTATAACTTTCCCGCATGTGATTCAAGAAGCAGAAATGGTGGCAAGTTTTACATGCCTCTTGAAAACACCCAATTCACACAGGCTTTCCCTGATCTGTGAGGCTTTCTGTCACCACTCTTTTTATTATTAGGCTATAATTGTTCTTGACTGGTTTTATTTTTTATCTCACTTTTATATTATGTTGCATTTTAATGTAAACCCTTAGGGATTTTAATATGTCAAGCTGTATAGAAGTATTATAAATCAATAATAAATACCCCACCTGGTTTTTTAAAATAACTTCTTTTACAAATTAGAAAGGGCAGATAGTCTATTTGATACATGAGGAGAGAGGCAAGACTGAGAAGTGGTATGTACTTTCTTAAAAATAAAATAGCCTGCCGTTTATTTAAAATGTGTTAAATGTGTTTTATTTAAATTGTAAAATATTAAAGTGATAGGTTATAATGCAAAACAAAAATATAGAAGAAGTTGACAGCAAAACAAATCTATTCACTTGCAGCAGGAGCTCATAACAGAAAAGAACTGAACTGAGCAAACCACACCAGGAACAAATAGCCAAGCACAACAGCCTTTCTGAAAAAACCCAGGCTTTAACCTGATGTCTGAAGGTCTCAGGTAGGGCAGGGTTCAGGAGCTGTGCACACTCCTGCAGGCGGGTGCTTCAAATGGAGGAAGCCCCACCACTAGCCACCTGCCCATTTTCCGTTTCAAATGCAAATAGGCCTCAGATGCTGGACCTAATGCAGAAAGGGGCCCCATACAGACAAGGCGGTCTGCAGGGTACTTAGTTTTGCTTAGCCATTCCAGCTAGGAAGGGGAGACCACATCACCAAAGAGGATTCCACTCTGACTGGTCTTAAAGTCCTGTGCTTGGCCTTCCTTTCAGCCACCCAGTTGTGTGCAGAGATTGCTGCACTAACGCAGCCTATCTAACCTTTTCTACATTCTTAAACCTTCTTGTATTTCTGCATCCTTCAAAAACTAGCAAGTTACCACCTACCCCAAAAGGAGATGCCAGTTATGAGCTGAAAGTGTTGAGAACCAACGCTCAGGTCAGACGTGGCTCAGGTTCAAATCCGCATTTGGCCATGAAGCTCACCTTGGACCAGTCCCGTACTGTCAGTCTCACAGAGATGCTGTGAAGATAGCATGGGGGAGGGGAAGAAGCACGTGTCCTTTTCTGACCCCCTTGGAGGAAATGGGGCGCAAAAGTAAAAACACAGAAATGTCCGTGCAGCCCCCTTTGAAATAGGACCAGGAGCAGTGCAACTTCCCAGTGTTTCCAAAAAGGACAACTTCATAACATATCCAAAATGCATGGAAACATACACGACTTTCTTTTTCCCTCTCGCTTCCTTTTTTAGAGCTGTTCATTTCTTTGAAGAATTGGCTTTTAAGTACAGTTCCTTAATTTTTGCACCTGCTAGTTACTTAAAAAGGAGCTTGTTAGTGGAAAGGATCACAGGGATGGCATGTCATTTTTTTTAAAAAAACCCTAAACAATTTGTGGGGGAAAAAGGTGAAGAAATGGCCCTTGTTTTCTTTTTGATAACTGAATCTGCAATTGTATGGAAACAATTGCAGCAGGAAAGCATTTGCTCACCTCTGAATTCTTTTGTCCTAGGAAGAACAAAGTATGTTAGCAATGGAAGAGGAAGGTACTGTCCAGTTACCACTGGAAGGGCACTATAGGTAAACTTCTGAGATCTAATTGTGTCCCTGCAGCTGCTTTTAAGTTACAAAAATAAAGAGGAGATGGATCACGGATCTCCCACATAAAATCTGTTTTGGTTCTTGTCTTGTGTCAATTTTTTAGAAGAAAATCTTTCTGCCAGTTGGCAAGAACGTGTACCTATCTCACCTCCGAGTCTAGGGCAGATTTCAGCTGCAATCCTAAGTGCAGGGTGCAAGGGATAGTTCTGGATTCAGTTGCATGACTGGGAAGTGCTGCATGTAACTGCGTCAGCCAGAAGGGGGGGTCCCCCACCCCCTTCTTTTAGGGGATTAGCATGCCTGCACTATCTAGCATTAAGTTCACCATCTGCACCCCAAGGATAATACTGTGTGTGGGGTTCACAAGGCTAGCTTTTCACTTGTTTGTGCATACAGATTGTACCAGCAATGCAGCTGCATGTCCCTAGATCAGGCCCATGGCGCTTTGGAAAGTGAGGAAACACGCGTAGAACCATAGAATAGGGTCGGAAGGGGCCAGGAAGGGCTTCGGATCCAGCCCCTGCTCCATTTAGACCCTGTTCACCCACGGTCAGCACAATGCTGTGCCACCTCCAAGAGCTGCCCCCACTCATTTAAATGGCAGGACATTCTGCACATGAGAAGGTACACATATGCGTGCATGTCCTGCCCCCTGCAATGAGAAAAGGAATCTCTCATGTGCAGGCGCTCTGGATGCGCACAGGACTGGGGAAGAGAGGCGTAGGCAGTCTGCAGCTATTATTGAAATGAATGGGCTGGAGCCAGAGTCTTCCTTGCATGGAGATAAAGGGGCCGTTTACATGTACCTGTACCTGTGACCCATTGGTTGGGAAAATGATGGGTTGGCAGGGACAAGCGGAAGGGAGCAAGTTTAGGGGCTAAATGATCCGGCAGCTAGCCCAACAGCGAACTGTGGGATGGTCTCGCGGTGTTTTGCCCCCGAGCAACAAAGTGGGCTGGGTTTGGTCTTCATGCTCATCAGGAACCTGTCCTGGGTTGCTGAGTCAAAGCAAAAAGGGAGGCTCACAGTAAGCCCCAAGCTCACACTCCTGCTTTGCATAACAACCCGTCAGTTTTTAAGCCTCTGACAACCATGTCAAAGGTTCTTGCCTGTGGGAGATTTGTGATCTGGTGGAGGTCTCTCGCTGGTGGAATGGAGGGAGTAGCAATCACTGACAGTTCTCATCCCTGCAGTCCCCTGAGCTGTCCCTTCCGCGCCCCCCCCCACCCCAAAAAGTATCTGCTCAGTGGCAGTGAAGGAATGGAGAGGAACAGTAAAGATTCTGCCTCTTTCTGTTGGTGGGAGTGTTGTGAGCAGATGCCCATGGAGGGATGTTCCTGCAGCACTAAACCGGCTGGGTCCAAGCAGTGCTATTTGCAGGTCAAAAAGCCGTCATAGCGATGGGGGCCTTCTAGCCAGTTCGCCCGCTGGCCCACGCAGCTTCCTCTTACCTACCCTGAGTGGCAGCTCTCTGGGTCTTCTGTCAGGCCTCCTTCCTGGCCCCTCCCTGGCAAAACTGGGGGCTGCACCCAGAGCCTGCTGCCCTGAGCTCCCTGAGGAGCCTGGTGTGCCCCCAGCTGAGCTGCCGGGTGCTCTGATTCCCGAGAGCTTGGCTGCACTTCATGCAAACGCGTTAAACTAGTTGGATGTGTTTCTTAAGTTGCATTCATCAATGGCACAGGACAGCAAAGGCAATGTGTCATGATGTGCTTATTTCTTCTAGAGACGACCCGTCTGTGATAAATATTTCTGATGAAATGGCCAAAACAGCTGTGTGGAAGACGCTTTTGATATCGTCCGAAAACACCAAGGAGAAGGAGTCCAGCTTTCCTTCTAAAAGGTTTTTTCCTTTAATTTTCTATATATACTATGTATTTTAGTAATAACTAGTTGCCCACAAAGCATTTAGTTTGTTAATCGGAAAATAAAAATGCTGGCCTACTAGGGCATGCATCATTTCCAAGGGAATGATCAGAGCTTCCAGTCCGTTGTGGGGCAGGTAACTGTGGGGGTGGCAACAGTGTCACGATGAAGTCACATCAGTGGGAAGCAACATGCCAGCGTCCTCCCTTGGGTACTGATCCAGCCTGAGAGTTCCCCTGAGCAGGCTGGTTCCCCCCTCTTGAATCTCGGTGACCCTTTCTTGGCAGTCCTGGACTTGGCTGTCAGAGAGAGGGAGAGAGATGCTCCTGCTGAAGCACACATGGCCCCCTCCCCCAAGATGGAAGGGGTGCCGCCGGCACAGGTGTGTGGTGCCAGCATCTCTGGTTTGCACCACCCACCCAGATCCTGCTCGTCTGTTTGGACTAGCGGGAATTGTTACTGGAGTCAGTACAATCCGTGGGTGGACTTCCATGCCTGTCACTCACAGAAGCATCCATATGGAGGCAACTTTGCTCGTGGTGGGATGTAAATAATTCCCCCCTCCCACACCACTTTTAAAAAGAAAACATCAGGCAGAGAAAAATCTTGCATGCTTTTCACATCCATTCTCCATTCTGCCCTTTTCCTAGGGTTTTGCTCTTCCTTTAGAACAGGGGCCCTCAAACTTTTTCAGTAGGGGGCCAGTTGAAAGGCGGTGGCTGCACTGCGAGCCGGTGAGGGGCTGGGGGCTGGGTGAGCAGGCCGGTTAGGCGTCATCAGGTGCGTGCGAGGTGGCGTTGGGCGCGCACGGCAGCGACTCGCATGCTTGGAGATTTCCCAGCGAGTGCAAAACCATCTCCGAGCGAGTGAGCCACCACTTCCAGCCCACGCTGCAGGGCAGTGGCAAGTGCACGAGCGCAGGGAGGCAGGCGGCAGCGGTGGCTTGCTTGCTCGGAGATGGTTTTGCACTTGCTGAGAGATCTCCCATCAAGACCAAGGAGTCCAAAACCATCTCCAAGTGAGCAAGCCGCCGCCTCCCGCCTGCGCAGCGAGTGCACACAGGCGGGAAGTGACAGCGTGGGCCAGATCCATCCTGTGGGCCGTAGTTTGAGGACCCATGCTTTGGAACATAATTCTGCAGGAAGGACTTGTTCTCTAAAACATATTAACTTACTTATTTATTCAAAACGTTTCTGTACCATTCCTATTCAGCCCGTGTCTGAAGGACATTTACGCAGTTTTGTGCTAATAACACAATATGACTTGAGCTGTGAGGCTGTTTGCATGTAACAGATGCCAGCTGTGTCTTATTAACCCACAATTTGCTGTGTGCATGATGGGCTCATATCACAGTCTTTTTGGATATTCATTCCCTGATGTAGCCAGTTGAGGGTTGCCCTGTGAAATCCAGATGCTGTAGATTAATTGTGGGTTAAAGAACCTGCCTACTATTTGTTTAACGTGCGATTAGCCTGCAGTGTCAGGGTTCCCATGTTATATAGCAACCCTTGTTCAGCCCCATGGGGGTGGGTGGGTCCGTATTCAAAGCGGCCATGGAATGCACCTGGCACACACTGCAGCAAATTGCGGGTTAGTTGGCCCATTAGTTGCTACCGATACATCCAAACTGGGGCACTGTGTATGTTTTTCTCAGAGAGCACCACCCCTTGCGTGATTATGTATAATGGACCTGCCAGATCCCTACTGGAATTGGACCAGGCTCAGCTCAGCTACTGGAAATAGGGGCAGTACAAGGGGAGGATTCATCGAGAATATAAAACCTGTGTTACATCCTCTTCTTACCTGTAAACTTTCTGTTATCTGTTCCATCTTAATTAGATGGGAAAAATCAGGGTTCATGTTTTCAGCTCATGTTATTATCCTTTCCTTATTTTTGGCTATTTAGCCAAGAAAGTTCTAAAAGCAGTTTACAGATCAATGAAACACACACAGAAAAGGTGGTCACTGTCAATGGCTTGTAATCTTGAAATGAGAACACCAAAGGAAAGGGCATCTGTTTGAGGAGGGAAAAAGCAATTGTTAATAGCACTTCCTGAAGTTTATCTGTCACTAAACTGTGCAGCTGAAGTATAATAAAATGGATGGTGGTTTTTACATTTTTTGCCACCCCTTTCCAAACAGAGTCTCGACAATGTGACCACACACCCGATTCCTATTTGGAAGAACCAAGCCAACGTTCAGGGCAGGATTCATTCCAGTGTTCGTTCATTCCCCCACACAGCAATATTGTCATAAGGGCTCACGAGACGATGCCTGCTTTCCCCTCTCCGTGAGGGGAGCGTAGCGCCACGTAGATGAAGCCTGGGCGAAAGGGAGGCCGGGGCAGGGTCTGGGACATGCGCGTGGACACGGAATGCTGCAGCATGTGTTGGGCAGAAAGGAAAGCAGGATGCAAGCACCCGTCTTCCCCGTCCCCCCATGAGCAGGCGGCCAAGGCCATGTCAGGAATTGTGAAACAGCAAAAGTGAAGCCCATTTCCATGCAGTCTCTCTACGTGTTCCCCTAAATTACAGACATATGCGATCTTGTTTAACTGCTATATTCCCCAGTTGCCATTCATTTTGAATTAACATTATTTTCTACTAAATTGTTCCATTATTACATTTCTACCATAAGCTCCCCTTCCTAATCTCTTTAGAAGCTGATTCCCCAAAGGTAAGACCCTGTCCCCAAACGGCTGCCTTGATTGCTATTCCATGGTGTGTTTTGGAAACTCAGCTGATCTCGTGTGTGAATTTTGGGGAGACAAAATTTAGTAGAAATACACGAAAAGCATATTTGGAAGGCTTTAAAAAACATCTGCACATTGCATCTTCCAAGAACTTCTGTATCAACTGAGTGCACTCCCCTTCAGCCAAAATTTAGAAGGTAGCATAACCTTGCCGTTTCAAGTGCACTGGGAAAATATACTAGTGAAGGAACTCCGCTTGGCCCCTGGCATTTTGTCACCCCAAAATGGCATGTTGCTTCTGCAGTGTTCTTCCTCTCCCTGAGCAGCATAAACAAGAGGAGGAATCTGTGGTCAAAGAGAGGGCACCCCAGTTCATGCCTTCAGCCGGGGTGAAGCTGCCCCGGCATGATGCCAGAGCCATGCCAGCCCCTTTCCTGTCTGTACCCTGCAGGACAGAGGCCTCGGCTCTCACGAGAGGGGGAGACTCAGGACCAGACTTTCCCAAGCTTGGCTCCCAAGATCATACTGGAGCATCTGGGACTCCGGTCATTGGCCATTCTGGCCAGGAAGGGTGGGAGGAAGTGGTTGTCCACGAGCTGCTTGGAAGCCCAAGGTTTCGGCTGGCACAAGGAGGGCCACCCTTCCTGTGTGGTTGAGAGGCGGGTCTGGCACTGGTGTTCCATCCCACTCTTTCGGAGCTGCTTCCAGAAGTCTGACCCAAAGTGATGTTGCAAAAATCCCCGGGTAACTTCCTGAGAGGTTCCTTATGAAATGCAGACTTGCTACCAGACCTAAGCCACAAAATGTCTCTGTGCTTGACTTTGCCCCTTTTTCTCACGTTTTAAGCAAGTGCTCAAAAACAGTAACAACAGCAGAGCGGTCTGCACTGGTGAAGCAAGGCTGGTTGGAGCCAAATCAGACTTGCCAGAGGTGCAAATGCCACCGCTGAGAGCTGGACATCGGCCCTCTTCTCTCGTTAGGTTAGGAAAAAGAGGTTGGCTGGGCAAAATCTTCCAAGCTGGAAACATAAAAAGGAAATTGCAGCTCGTACATGTTAGGTTCATATCCACCTTCCAAGAGTGCAGTGGAAACTGTTCTTACCCCGGCCATAAAGAGATCCTTGGATTGCCGTGGTAGAAAAGGGGTCAGATGCCTTTCTTCACACAGCCTCCATTTTTGGCTTTCCATATTGAGTCATACATCAGACAAAGGGAGCTATGGCAGTTCTGTCCATTGCACAGAAAGGTGAATCTTGGAGCCCACATTTCTTTGCTGCCTCTAGCAGTAAACTGAGCAATTGAGATCTGGTCGTCACTCCTACCCACTGTCGTTGCAGAGGAGCACCGGATCAATATTCTCTTAAGAGAAGACAATGCACACAGTAGAATCATAGGGTAGCAGAGGTGGAAGGGGCCAAGCAGGTCTCTGGGTCTAGGCCCCCAGCCCAATGCAGACCTGCTCTGTATTGTGTATCAGTGGGCTTTTAGCTATGACCTGCCAGTGATCCAAAGCTTTGGATCCATCATGGGGAGGAGCCTGAAATATTCTTCTGCACGCAGAGGGTTATCACTTGCTGAACAGGATATCTTGCATCCTCACTTCCCACTTGCGGCTCCCATGCACCCTCCAGATTGCCTCTGGGAGGTCCTCCAACCCCTCAGAGAAGTTTGGAGAGTGGGCAGGGAGCTCCAGTCCACCCCGCAATTGATAGGTTTCTACATACAGTAGAACATTTTTGGATCCAGATTTTAGTCTCACCAATTTCAGTGGATTTCCTGTAAGTACAGCTAAGTCTGGATCCAACCCATTGTGTGCACATTCAGAACCAGTTTATTTCTGCAGAGAACTTAAACCAAACCAAGAGCAAATCTTGACTTAGTTTTGCACCTAAGAAGAAGCAGAACAATACATTGATCACCTCTGAAATATTGATCAGTTTGCTCATAAAATGTACACATGACTCATAAAATAGTCCCCTTGCCCCACCTGGATCAGCATCTCGAGGACCACCCTACCAGTCCACTCCAGAAAATGTGCTGCCAGTAGGAATGACTGCTCGGTCCATTAGTCCCTGACCCCTCACCCAGCAAACCAAGCCTACTGTTTCACCCAGCAAGCTAAGGAACAGAGGTGTAGTCCATCGCACTCCAAAGCAACAAAAGTCTACTAATTCTTCATCTCCTGCCCCCTTAGGAGTGAAACTGCTTTCCCCCATCACACGCAGGAGGCACTGTCTCCATTCGTCTATCTCTTGCGTGTGACTAAGACAAGCAGGTAGGAGGGGTTCCCAAGATAGACTGGCCTCACCTGATTGGTCCTCTCCCTCACAGGAGATGGTGCTGGCCAGGTGACTGGCCCCAGGTGATGCCGCCATTCCTGCAGTGGCATTCACACATGCTCCCCCCCTCCACCCCAGCATGGGTTTGCACCATTCAGAAGTGGCTGCCATGTTGTGTGGGAAGAAAGCCTGAGCAGACAAGCTGTTTGACAGAAACAGCAGGCTGGAGCCCTTCTGATCAGCAGATCCATTTGACTCAGGAGACCTGGCAAGTAATTTTTGTGCCGCGCCGTGTGGCAGAGTCTGTAAATCTGCCATGAGGAACAGGAACAAAGAGGGAGGAAAAGAAAAGAGGTGCCCGTGTGCAGATGCAGCACAAGCATTTTGAGATAGATAATGTGTGTCGTCCAGCTCATCCACATCTTAGGTGAATTTGCTGATGATTTTGGTAGAAAGCAAAGACTATACAGATTATAACCAAGCAAGTTTTTAACTTCTTGTTTGTGCACCTTAAAAATCCAGCCTTAAAAATATGTGACCGATTTTATTTGCGAAGAAAACTGTTGCCATTTTAACCAATGCAGTGATTTAGCTTTTATTTTTTTGGCCTGCATGCTTGTAGATGCGTATGTCAGTGAATTTTGCATCTTGCTCTATTTTTCAGTTACCTTCTTTGTCTTCCTCTCTATCTATGATGTTGCCCAGTGTTCTCGTAACCATACAAGCATACCTGCCCAGTCGTGCATTTCCGCTTTTGCTTCCCAGACATTGCAGCATGAAAGCTAAGGCAAATGATTTTGCTTGACAGAGGGATCCCCCGCTTTAAAGGAAAATGGGTGGTTTGTCTGTGCAACCGCAAGGCATTTTCTTCTCCTTCTTCTTCCCCAACTTAGCACTGAAAGCCGAAGAGAGAAGAAAGCTGACTCAGGGAAAGGTGTGGACCGCGAGACTTGTCTATGACTTTCTCTTCTGTTTGTTTTGATACACAAATGTCTGGAGTGGCGCCATCCTGACCATGCCCACCTTGTTCAATTCATTGTACAACCTGCCCTTCATTCCAGAGTAGTACTGGTAATGTAAGTAGTGCAATCCGTGCTTTGGTCCTTGTCTGTTCATCTGCTCTGGCCGAGGTCCCTGCAGGTATCGACTGGCCGGCGAGGGAATCCTCCGCTCTTCTTGCCGGGGTCCCTGTGTGCGAACCCCTGCCATCTACTCCAGAAGTGAACAGGATTTCCTTTCAAACATTTCTCTCAGTAGGTTCGGACTGTATTTTCCTACTTTGCCTGTGCACTTATTTTCATTGCTTCTCCATTTCAGAAGAGAAGCAAACTTGAAATGGCCCCAATTCTTTTTGTAGCTTAGCTTTCAGCCAGCTATTTCAAAAGACCCGCGGCAACAAAAAGATGTTAGTTTTAGAGCTATTTTTAAATGAGGAGTGGCTCGATCCTGCACTCCCTTACCCATAAGAATGAGGATTTCCCCCCAGTTTAAAATCATGGCTTGCGTGTGCTGCACGCGCGCGTGTGTGTGTGCATATGCATGAGTGACTTACAGGATCAGACCCTATATTTGTGCAATTTTCCTTGATTTAATACTGGATATTTAATATTTAAATTTATATGTAACTGGAAAAATAAAGTAATATATAAAGATATATAGGATATAGTTAACATTCTGTCATCTTGTTTGGAGAAAAAAGCCACATCCATTGATCTGCAATATCCATGCAGTATTTGTCGTGATGCGAGCTGTCATTACAATATCTTATACTGTACTGTACTAAATGTTGCAGTGGTGAATTCAACAGCTGCATTGTGGTGGTAAATAATCCACATTTTTCTAGCTTTCTGGATTATAATCCTTTTCTGAAATGTGCAGTAAGATTTCCAGTCCCTGACCAAGAGTGAGCAGTCAGGCTGCTGCTTGAAACTTCTTCAATTGCTTCATGATGCTTTGCACTTGTCTGGACATAGGCAAGTACTATTTTTTTCCACCCAAGTATGAATCCTACATATATTTTTGCTAGAAGACTCTTTTCATTATTTCATCCAATGTGTGTTGTTTTAAAAATGCATTTGCGATCCGTCAATAACTTCTGAGCACAATCTAGACAAAATTAAATACTTTAAAGTCACATTGATCTTGGAGAGAGAAACATAAGCCTGTGCTTATCTCTTCTACTCATATTAGTGGACTGAAATATGTTTAACTTTGACTATATTGTGCCTTTATTTAAGTTTGATGTTATGATCTCACCAAAGTACATAGGAGCTTCGACACTGATTTCAGGGGGCCAGGTTACTGCCATAAAACCTGTTTGCAAAACAAACCTGTGCTTGGCCTTTCATAGTAGCCTGAGTCCTGAATGAAGGACAAGTCCATGTTTGCAGTTCAGCCCCTTTTCATATATAACATAGAGATGCTATTGTAGCAAGCAGCAAGAGCAGGCCCAGAACAAGATTCCTCTCCAGTGCCTACTAGTAAGTATCCCCAGACCACTTTCCTTCGGCCATTTCCAGCTTGGGGCTCACAGAGCCAGCTCTACAGCAAACCACCCAACCATCCACAGGATGGCTGAGCACACAGTTTCCGTGCAGATGTAGCCAAACTGCTCCTCCTGAGGCGCCCAGGCTGCTTGTGCTTTGGAAGCGAGTGGAATGCGCATGGATGGGAAAGAATAGCCGGACCCTCTTCGTAAGGCCAGCCGCTTCAAGTTAGTGTTCGGGTTCTTTGGTGTTCACACGCACATGAGTTACAGAGACTGGATTGTAACTGACAGTGAAAATATATCAAGCATTTTACAGATTTCTGTGGATGTTACGATCTTTTCATCTCTTTTTAAAAAGTCATATTGATTATTCTACACAAAACCAGACTGTAGAAATGCACCAGTACCTTAGAGTACCAGGACCAAATAGCTGCATGCTTTCAATGTTCAGGCATGATGGCTAATCTCAGACATTAATATTATTTGCAATTTTGCCCAGTGTAGCCTAAGAATTCTTAGCTGAGTGGGACGGCCTTGCATGCCAGCACAGCTGTAGGGGAATTCTGTGCAAGATCTTGTTTATGAGTAAGTGCACTGGAGGTTCCTGCACACGTGAAACTGACCCCTCCGCTGGCATGATGGGGCAAGCCACATGCATTTGAGCCTTTATGCTCAGAAACATGGGCTTTCAGCAGAGGCATCGCCCTCATAAGGCTGATGAATTTCATTGTCTCCCATAATGTACGTATATGTACGAACCGGGATTCTCAAGGGCAGAAAAGGGCATGGGTTTTTCAGTGTAGGCCACCTGAAGCACTTTGGTGAAACTGTTTTCGTACATCCAATCTGCACATTTTACTATATAGGATGCTTTGGCCCATGATGGTCCCGACTGGTTCATCAGATTCTCATTCTAGGTACCTGTGTGTTCGGAAGAAAACTGTCCTGGACTTTCATGTGGACACTCTTGCACAATGCTTCTTGTTGAGCACACAACCCAACCAGAAGCACTTTCCTTCAAACCATCTCTCCCTTGAGCAGTAGTCAGTTGCATTCCCACTTCGTACGGGTAAATCTGGACTGCCGCCAGCCAAGATGGACTGCTGTGCATGAACAGCAGGTTGCATCTCCCGAAAGGCCTGTAGTTTGGCAGTTTGCATACCAGTTCAGCTGCAGAAAGTGGAGAGGGGCCCTTCTCAGGAATGGTGGCTCTGAGAAATGGCCCACAATGTTCAATGACTCACAAACTGAGTTCAGGCTGCCCAGTTCCATATGCCTTGTACTACAAACATTAAATCACACCAGTTGTTATTGTGCCCCAAGTTGGCTAAATCAGATGGGCATAAAACAAAACATTTCTTCAAAGGTTATGTTTGAAACACAAGTTCTTGTCTTAAGAGATTCTTCTTATCATCACCCAAACACTTTAAATTCATATTTTGCCAATATTTTCATATTTATTCAAACGATTTGCATTTAATAAGAATGTATATATAAATCTAGAAAAAAGTTCAGCTGCATTTAAGATTAAAATGCTTTGTTAATGTGCACTTGATGATCCACTGTAACATTCCAGTTGCTTGAAGGTGAGCCTAGTCTAGCCATGCCATACAGATCTGTCCCTGGAAAGAGACTACTGGGGTTTTAATATGCTGCTGATGTTCTGTATCAAAATGATCAAGAAATCAGAAATCTCACCTATCTTTCTGGATACTAAGAAATCAGTGTATCAAGGATATTCTACATTATTTCTGTTCAGCATTTCTGAGTTTTTTTTAACTGTTATTCTGTTTTTGTGTGGATTTCAATGCTATTCCAGTGTTAATGCCAACACTGAAATCACACACAAAAAAGAAAATGCAAATAGTAGTGTTAAACTTACTTTCAATTTCTTATTCTTTGGTTGCAATTGCTGAATTTCTTGGATGTAATTTATTACAAAAGTTTAAGTAAAGTGTACATGTGAATAGAATACTGTGTTTTTCACATCTTAAGAGGTGTTAATGTGGAAATAAAATATTTATCCTAACTATTCTTTATGCTTATATTTACCATGCCTAAATATGCATATGATGGGGCGCTGTGTATTTTTCTGTCCTTAGAAAACTTACCTGTTTGTTCTTTCAAATACAACATCAAACTGCAAGTTCCTTTATTAACAATAGCTAACATGTGTATTTGAAAACATTCAGTAGAATGAGTCTACAGACATGCTCATGCAAAAACAGAAGGGTTTTTAATTCACAGTATAATTTGGCAATATTTAACTTTATTAGTTTCCTACACAATGTAAGTGTCTATGAAAGCAGTACCACCGAAGGTGTGTTCTGCCAAAGTTCTCTCCTTCCTGGAGGAATCTCTACTAGTTCTCTCCTCTGTTCCTTGCCTGTTCTGAATTCACTCCTGATGTAACTAGCAACTCCTGCCAGGGGAACAGCTATGTAGGAGTAGGTTAGACGCTTATCTACTGAACGTAATGCACTACACGATGACAACTTTGCTACATGATGCTAGTAGGAACTTTCACAATTATGAAGAGCTGGCCTGCCACTCTTCACTAAATTAATTTCTCCTGTCTTTACGCAGATCAAATTGTTATAACAACTTTCTGTTGCTTCAAGGACAGCAAACAAATAACTGATGAATATTAGAACAGTTTTCCAATAAAAACACAGGTTTTCATATTCAGTATCACAAAATGGCTTTATTATATTACATCAAGAACATCAACAGTTGTAGGTCAACATGTTTTGCTAGCCTCGTACAGCCTCCCCTTTGAACATTGTGGTTGTTCTGAGAACACAATTTACATCTTATAATTTAATGAAGGGCAGGGAGAAAAAACACTAACAGTTTAGGAACATGGTAAATAAGTTATAAGGCACATTGGTTACTAGTGGTATTGGTTTCATGATTGGGCCCCATTAAACAAACATGAATTTTGTTCATAGGAAAAAAGTGAAGTCATCAACTGCACCCCATTCACATGAGTTCTATTGGTCAGAACAGCTGAAGCACCACATGCTTTGCAGCTGCCTTGATATCTTCTGGTTATGAAAAACCACTGGAGTTCCCTTGTTGTATCTTTTGTGAAAAAGCAGCAGCAGCACCAAAAAAAGAAAAGGGGGTGGGTGGGTGGGTCCACAGGTTTTTGATTGGCATTAAGCAAGCAGTGAACTGTTATGCTTCCTGTGGAAGTCTTACTTTGGGGCTGTGTTCCTCAGAAAGCAGAACTGTGTGGGGGAAGTGATGCCTACTCATGTGTTAGCCCTAGTTCCTCAGAACCAGGTTCCTGTGGTATGATTCCACACTGCTTGTGTGTAAATGCATTTGGCTATTTCACACGATTACCCATGGGCCTTCCCACTCAGCCTGCATCTCACCAGGATGCAAGATGGGACAGACTCATGTAGTCAGTTCCATTGAAGGTATTCCCAAGCATAGTACCAGAGGGCAAGCAGACTTCCCAGCAGTGGGTGCATGTGGGACCAGCATGTCTTACAGGCCCCTCCTGGGGACAGATACTGGGCAGATAGGCTGACCTAGCAAAAGTGTTCTCAGGAAGGGATAAATGGTTGCGTGCCAGATAAACCATTCCTACAATTTCCAGCTCTGGTTATTTGATACTATTTAGAAATTTACTAGCCAGAAATTTTAGACTTTCCTAATATGTATAGGTATAAATCATTAACATTTCTGTTAGTGTGGTTTGGTCCCTCATCAAAGCCATAGCTGGAAGCCCATGAGTGTTTCAATAAGAGCTGCAGTCTAGTTTCAAAATACGCTTTTGCTCCTGATTTTCAAGAAGTTCTGCCATTATGAAGCCTAGGATCTTGCTACAGTCACTAGAATTAAAATAGCAAGGAAGAGATGAGCTGCCCCACTGATGTGGCTACAGGAATGTCACAGCTTAGATAACTAGCATCAATTCCTGTATATGAAGGCTTTTTCAAATAGTATTCATGTTCTGGAAACATAATGTGGTCAGCCTTCACAAAACTGTTTCAGAATTATTCTAGTGCTAGAGATTAATTTTACTACTCTTCACATCAAATACTTAAGCTATTATTTCAGATGGTAATAGCAAATGTATCAGCTGCTTCACCTGCTTGCAAGCGATGTAACTTGACAATTGCCTTTACTTCTAAAAAGTCAACATGAACAGCAACTTTGGGGCAGGGGAGGGGGACTGAAAAAGCAGTGAAGCCTGGGTTAAACCCCCTGCCCAGCATCCAGCTGTCTCCTGCCAGCCTTGCTGTTAAATATTATTATTGTAAGAGATCATAGGCACAGATCTTTCAATCAGATCTAATTCTGCCCATACTCAGAAAATGATAGCCTATTTTAGTTGCAATCCACAAAACATGTATGAAGAATTAGAGCTCATCCCTGTTTAGAGAAACATTTTTACTTCCAGCATGTTCCATTTAAAACCTGACTGGTAACTGCTGAAGTGATCATTTCTATGACAAAATTACTGCACTTAGCAGTCAAGCATAAATACAAAAATTGCTTCTTGCAATAACATGTTAACCTGATTTATGTTTTGTTTTAAAACAAATTGTGTGTGTGTGTGTGTGTGTGTGTGTGTGTGACATGACTGCTGCAATCCAATGACTCCGGTACCCATACCTGTGTTCTGCTGTCATGTACAAAACATTGTATGCAAGACCTTCTGCAAAGGAAACAGGTTGCTTTTTTACTGAGGTGCAGCATAATTTAAAGAGAACAGAATAGAGTAGCCCTTGGATGAGTGGTAGAGCACTGCAAATATTTGGTCTGTACTCAGTAGGTCACCGTATAAAAGAATTGCACAAACAGACATTTTTTTCTTAATTCAAGTCTCCATAGAAATAAATTTTGCTGTCTCAGTTGAATGAAACATGAGGCAATTAACTAGGAAAGTGCTCTTTTTCAAAACTTCCTAAGCATAATGAGATGCGATTGATCTCCCTGGTGTTATGACAATGCAAAACACTGTTTGATAAAATGTGTCATATGGGTGTAAATATGGCTGTGGGCCTCGCCTCCGATTCCATGGTCTTTATCTGTGTACCACTGCAAAGAGAAAAAGACAAGGTTTTCAGTGCAACTCCTACTGTTCTAGAAAACAGTGACTCTGATAGAACAGGAGGTGGTCTAGGGGCCGCAGGCTGGTTCCTCCTACAACATCTTGAAGGGCCAGAGGATCACTTGGAGGTCAGAGACAGGGCTCCATGCTCTGAGCAGGGAATTGGATCTCTGACCTCCCCCCCCCCCCCCAGCTGGCATGGAAGGAACTACACTGGCTTTTCTCCAAGTTCAAGAATGTAACTCTGGAGAAAGGTAGAGAGTGTCCTGGTGGGTAGGATGGGGAGAAGGCTGCAGCGACCTGGCCACAATGGCCATTCCCCTGGAAATGTTCCAGGCTAGACAAGGAAAAAGGCCCACCTAATAAGAAATGCAGGGAAGGAAGGACAGGGAAGCAAAGATCGCCTCCACCACTCCTGGCAATATACAAGTTGGTGGGGGGGGGGGCTGCGAGCATTGCAATAGGATTACACTTAATTCCCTCCCCCCACACCCCAAATTTTCCTCTGCCTTATGCTCAGGCCAGATAAGTTCTATGTAAAAACACTGGCCAGGATGCTCCAGTTGTGCCTGTCCTCTTCACTGCACAAAGACGTGGCGGACAAAAAGAAAAGGCAGTGGAGATAAAAGCTTTGCAAGGTGCCACTGTGTAAAGTAAGGCAAGGACAGCTGTTGGAACCCTGCGCTGTCATTTGTGGAGCCTGGACGTGAGCCTGCTAGTCTTGCATTGGCAAAGGCAGTGCGAGGAGCCACGGCGAGCCGCCTTCTTCATGAATTTGACGAATTCCCTTTTGATGCCACCCCTACATCTTGCAGTAGCAAATTCGGAAGTTAAAGAATGTCCCAGAATGGTGCTTCCTTTCAGCTGCCCAGAACCTTCCCACAAATGGCTTCGTAGGATGACCCAAGATCCAGGATTATGACAGAGGAAGAAACACTCATCTTTAAACACTTGCTATGCATAATTTTATACACTCCAAGATGGCTCCCTTACTTGCCTTTTTTCTTAGCTAAAGAGCCCAAACACTGCACACTTTCCTTAGTGGGGAGTTGCCTCTTGATCCAGTTCCTGCAGCATTTTAAGCTCAGCAGTATCTCCTTAGAGCTGCAGTGACCATGTCCTTTTCAAAGGGTAATATTTGCATAGGCTAATCCAGATGGATACACAAAATGTTTAATACAAAGGAGCTTTTTGAGTGAGGGGAATAGAGTACTTAAGCAATCAAGTCCAACAGGAGAAAGCTTACACACAAATGCTATGCATCTATTTGCTTTAGCTTTAGTCTATCAAAAACTACAAGGAGTGATGGACTCTGTCTTCCCCTGCCCTCCTAAGTACCACAGAATAAAATTTTGTTGCCATTTCAGAGAGCCTAATTTGGATTTCTGGGCTCCTTGATCCGCCTTTGCAGTTTGGAGAGAAAGTGTGCATTGCGCCTGTTTCCGCATCCCTTGCTTCCTTTTCAACTTGGATGCTCCTCTGATAAACACAGCCTTCTTTTCTCTTGTCAGTTCCTTAGCTTAGAATGAGAGCACAGAATCACGTTCCGTCTCACTATGTTCTTTTTGGAGAAGGTCCTGAGAGCACAGTCTACTGCTGGGCCGGGCCGAAGCAAACTGGGTGAGCCCAAAAGACAAGAAATAGCAGCATAAAGCTTTTCCTGCCAGTAACTAAGTCCAAGACAAGGCATTTCAACACCCTGCAGTGAGGAGCAGGACCCACCAAATGATTGGCAGCTGGGGGAAGGGGCTGGGACCAGTGGAAGTGGGAATGCCCTTCTAGGGAGATCCTCCTGAGGGCCAGCTCTGGCCCTCAGGCTTCAGGTGCTGCACCCTGCTTTAGAATGCAAGTGGCGACCCGAGCAAATGTCTTACAGAAATTAACACATACCATTGCTTGGAAATCCACGTGTGCATCAACTAAAGCTTTTGAGATCTGAGCTGCTTGCTGAAAGTGAACATTATCTGGAATAAAAAAAGAAAATACCGCTAATAAATATTGCATATCACCCAGAGTGGGGAAGAATCAACCACAAAAGCACAACCATGACTCTCTAGCCCACCTTACTAGATACCAAACATGGAGGAAAAAAATACTATTATTGTCCTCAGACATGTCTTACTGTCTTGCCTCTTGATGGTTCTGCTTTTTTCAGAACTAGATTATAAAGGAAGGCTAATTAAGAGCAACTCACCATCTGCTGTTCCGTGGATCAGGAGATAGTCCACTTCTTTGAAGTTCTTAGCTCTGGCCATAACTGTAGAATTCTAAGATACAGGTGTCAAAAGAAACAGTTTAGTTACAGTTGTAGTCTGCTTTGAGTGACTAATATTATTCAATGCCACAAACGGTTCCTTAATTAAAAACAGTAACAAATGCCATGTGTATATGAGCAAGCCATTCCTACAGAGAATAGGGAATCCTTGTGCTGAACCCATTCACAGACCTGATGATAAGCAGCACAGTATAAAGTGTAGGAATTTAGAACATCTAAGCTACAGTAAAAATAATTGCAATCATGCAGAAAAAATAATTCTTTTTGACATAACTGGCTTCATTTACTTCTCAGTTCTTTGCAGTCAACCAACTTTTTATAAGTAGCTACCAAGAATTCATTGGAGTCACTGTCTCCAGATGTTATTCGTCAAGCAAAATTCACTGTTTGGCATATTTATGAGCTAAGTCTACCCTTAGCTAAGTCTACCCTTACAAGGGAAGAACTGACTTCCATGTTTTCATCCCAAAGTTACAAATGATGTGGCAAAATAAGTCTCTGGAAACTTGTGTAGGCCAGTAAATTTCTCTGCACGGTTATCTAGGTTCCATGAGTCCAATGGCAGAAATACCCTACTGCCCTCTGCCAGTTCTAAGGCCACTGCCAGGAGAACTGTCTTTGTGAAAAGATCAAACAGCAGTCAGCATTTTATCGGCACTCAACAAACAAGTTAATGTTTGGCTGGAATCTGAAGGTCTCTCTCCCTTTGGCATATTTCTTGGATAATAGAACAAATGTCATATCAGTACAAGATGGCATATTTACAAAATTGTACCCTGTTTTGCATAACCTAATGATGCAGCAGTTCTTGAGGACTGAACATTTCAAATCTGCTAGCAGAAGATTGCCAAATCTATGACTGCTTCAAATACTTGCCAACAGCATATCAAATTTGGAGAGAGCTGCAAAACAACCTCTTTCACAAGTTTAGCTGTCCTCCCCAGTGCATGCTCTCCTGGCAGCCTGTGACAACTAGTATCTGCATCAGCATCCCTTCCCCTGTGCAAAGCCACCAGCTCAGTCTTTTTTCTCTCCTCCGGTTCATGTCGAGTTGTGTTTCTTTTAGGGCCTAAACTAGATTTTCTACAGCAGCCTACAGCTCTGGCTTCCACCTATTCAACTTTTCTTATTTTTGCATTTGCAATTGAAAGGACCGCACACTGACTAGAATGCCACCACGCTGACTCTGAACCTGTTTGTACTTTGTGTGTGCACACACTTACCCACACTTTTGCAGTTATTTCTTGGTTTCTACACTATACGGCACTTGGTGTTTTCTCCCATGTCATGCTCTTTTAATGCAGATGCTTGCACTGCTGTGGGAGGGAACTACAATTCAGGAATAGTCTTGTTGGGCACGTGCAAATCTATGCATAGACCTAAGGTATTAGGCCCCAAATTACAAGGGTTATCTTAACAAGAGTCCACATTTTTTGAGCTTCAAAGGGAGTAAGCATCTTATGAAGCCGAAGGGTAAGCAGGCTCGTGCCTACAAAAGACCGTCACCTGGAATGGGTTCCCATGTGCGTCATCTGAATGCTGCTAGCCCAAGCAAAGGGGCTGTCCTGGATACAATGCCACTGGGTTTGCTTAAGTTCATGCTCATCGCATCTCAGAAGACAGTGGCCACAGAAGTGTGGACCCACAGCTGACACCACCCAGTGTGTGCTGCTCGCTCAGGGGTGCACGTGCTCCAGAGAAGAGCAGCCTGACACCCCCCAGTGTGTCTGCACTACCTCCTCTTAAGATCTAGCACCCACGTGCAAAGTTCCCCCCGCTATCCAGGTGCGCCAGTGGCTATGAACCCCCTTTCCTGCAGAGGGGCTGGCCTGAAGTGTCCTTTGCAGGAAGCCACACCCTGGCACCTCACGTTCCAAAACCAAGGCAGTGCCTAGTGCTGCACCCAGTCCAGAGTCTCAACTGGCGAAGGATAAGCAGCACGTCCACAGAGGCTAACCCACTTCACAAAAACATCAGAATGTCCTATGGCGGATTTATTTATTTCAATTTTGCATATGCTGCCCCGTTACTAAAAGTCTCTGGAGGGCTTACAAAGAACAAAAACCAAAGAGCAAGGCAAACCATAACTGTGGCGACACACAGCACACTGCAGCCGATAAATGATGATGATGATGATGATGGTTGCAGTGGTCAGAGCAGTGGAGGGAGGCTGGGGAAGCCATGGCGGGTCTGCACCCAGCCGCCAGGTTCACCGGGTGGCTCTGTGCCATCTGACTGGGAGCAGACAGTACAATAACCCAAACTCAAGAGTTGTGTGTTGGCTGTCAGTGACCCATGGGTTGCTGAAATGTGGGCTATTGTGTTGTCTAAACCCATCTGCTATAACAAACCAAGGTGAACAACTTGTGATTCACCACCCAACAGCAAACCTTGTGTCCTTTCCATGGGTTGTTCTTAGTTAAAAAGCCACGGCTTGTTAGCACAGCTAACAAGGGTTTAAACACCACAACTACAGGACACAATTCAATGACAATCCACACTTTGCTCTTGAGTTTGGGTTACTGTGCTGCTTGAACCTAGTCAGCAGTGCCCCTGAGCCTAACCTACCTGTCAGGGTTGATGTGAAGATAAAATGGAAAGGGAAAGGATCATCCGTGCCATCTTGGGCTCTTTTGAAGGAAAGGCCAGGACAGAAATGTAGGAAATAAATAAGAATATAAGGAGTGATTTTCCCAACTTCTGAGAAGACAAGTGAAGCCTTATCAAAAGGTCTTTTGTCGGTCTATGTCCATTAGTAGGATCATGACATTTATTTATTAGTTTATATCCCACCTTGTTGGCTTCCAAGGAACTAATGGCAGCTCACATAAGTCTCCTCATCCTCTCAATCTTATCCTCACAACAACCCTGTAAGGTAGGTTAGGTTGAGAGTCTGCGGCTGGCCCAAAGTCACCAAGTGAGCTGCATGGCTGAGTAAGGACTACAGCCCAGAAATCCGGAGTCCCTGCCCCACATACTTAACCACTACACCACACTATAATATTGAGTGGAGTGGTACAATGGGTGTTGCCTGTACTGACTCCCAGGACTGGCTTAAAGTATGGAATATATAGTATATGGAATATAAGAGTGGGCACACGCACACACACCGCACACACACGTGGGTGCGTTACTTGGCTGGTAGCCACACTGCCTCATAGGCACCTGCAGCTCATTGGCTCATAGGGACCTGCCATCTTGTTTGGTTCAGTCTGTTAATAGAAAAAAAGGCCAACAAGGAGGAAAACAGAAGAGACAGGAGCTAATCACCAAGATCCAATTGCCCCCTTTACTAGATTGAAGTGTGCCTGAATACAAAATTGGAATGTTCCCATAGTTTTACTTTTGTCTTTGGAATGCCTGGAATTTGGTCTTATTCGGAACACTTGTACATAACGTGTTTTAATTTTATGCTGCGATTTGAATTTGCACACATGAAAATAAGCACTAGCAGATGCATTCGATTGGACTCTCACCCTGCAGCACACGTCCTCAGCTCATTTAGGTTCCAAGAGAGCAGGTGTTGCCATCATTACAAGCTTTCAGCTTTTAGAGAAGATCAAACTTTTGCCTTCTTCGAGCTGGCTTACAGCCCAATCCTGTGTCGTGGCACTTTGCAACCAGATTGTATAAAACTGGGAAGTGAAAGGCCACAATGTTGGGTCAAGCAAACGCCCAGCTGTACTAAAGCTAGCTGCTGTTTCCTTCACCAGGACCTTGGCACTGAATGGAAGGCAAGGGAGGGAGATGCTGGCCAGGCAGAGCAGCCTCGTGGAATGTGTCCTGCCCACCTAGCAGAAGATCCTGTTTAGCTTCAGCAGGGAAAATTGCTACCTGTCCTGCTTGTGCTCTCTATTAACCTGATGTTGTTTAAAGCCAGGAATTCCTTCTAAATTCTGAGAAATGTGGATCACTTTTGTAAAAGCAGGATATAATCTGGAGAAGAAGGGGCCTTTCTTTGAGAGGTAGGTGGAAACATGGGAAAGCACTGTTCCAGAATAGTGAAGCCATTAAGATCTTAAGTCCTTTCCGCCCTTGAATCTTGTAACATGAATTGAACAGTTTTCCACCTTAAGAGATGCTGTGCACAGTCTGATCAGTATCTCCGCCCCCTCCTCCTCCTCCTTGCTTGCAGCCTCTCCAATTTAATCCTCTGAGTAACACATTGGAAACCTTTAGCTCTTTGGTACTGGCAGTTTCAACGTGGACACTGCCAGCAATGGATGCTGCGCCAAGAAAACTCGACTCCTGGCACAAAAAGATTACACAGTCCTCTGGTGCCATCTGTGCTGTGAAGCTGCAGTGACATTGTGCACCCAGAGCACTAACATTTCAATCTGTAGCAAGTTAAGAGACTCCCATTTACATAAGTGCCTTGTGGATCTGCTACCACTCTGTCTGCCTTCACAGAACCTCAAGTTGTTCAGCAAACAAGAACCCCAAATAGAAGGCAATGATGGAGAGTGGCAAGAGAGAGCCACTGAAGCTGGCTGGATCGGGCCAGAAAGTTTAAAGAGAACTCATGAATCTCTGAGGCAGGTGACAGATGGGAGAAAGAATGGCAAAAAGGTCAAAAACCTGCTCTTTTAACTGTGGTGGCCCGCAGCATTTGCAAAGGCACATCGTTAGCAGCGCCTTCTATCTCAGGCTTTGTCCCACCTCCCTTCTTTCACATTTAGGGTAGGACCACTCGTCAAATGCAAACATGCGTAACAAAATTCCAGCAGACGAGTGTGTTGCCAATGGTGACTTCATAATGAAGCAACTGGAGCAGAGAAGCACTGGGGGAAGTAGGCAGTAACACTTTGCACATTCATACCACATGCTGGTGTGCCAGAGCGAGTGTCAGAGTGAAAAAATGAGGATGGGAGAAGTATCATGGGAGGATGAGACTCACTTTTTTACTGACTTTTCCATAAGAATGTTTTTTCCTCCAAAAAGGGGGGCCCTTGGAGTTTTGTTACTTGCGTTTACACATAACCATTCATTCCGTTCTTTTTTTTTCCAATTCAGTTTCACATTTATTCAGTCCCTTTATACCTATGACGAGTTCACAGGCCATCTCTTGACTTTGAAATGTCTTTTACCACATCCACCTATTTTGTATTCCCTTTCAAGGGGTTACTCTCTCTTCCAATGGTGCCTTTCTGCTGACAGGAACTGCTCTCTCAGTGGATCTGATAATTTCCTCTCCTGCCTGCAGCACCATCAAAATCTATTCCAGGAGGCTGGGACACCCTCGACAGCAGATTTTCCAGCAGTGTAGAGGACTGCAGTGAGGAAGTGAGAAGGAGAAAGCCCTGCTCCACTAGCAGATATCCTAGCATAACGTTAGATTCACCCCACAGTCTTTGCTCACCTCATTAGGCTGCACACCTGGCTGAGCACAAAGAACCATTCAGCTATCATGGAAGATGCAAGGAGTGCATATAAATTGCCACCATGGTTCTAAAACAATGAGACACAAACAGCTCTGGAGGAGGCATCGCTCCTTTTTTATGGCAGACTATGCCATCATCGCCACTGCAGTGATCTGCAGCACAGACTGAGAAGATCCATCATGACCTCAGCTGCTAAATTTATGTTTGGGCAGAATTTATATTTGCATTAAGAAGGGACACAAAAAAGAAGAGGATACTTTTATAAAGTCAAAATAAGGAGGTGCTTGATCTAGTGAGTGCATCCATTCATCGATGCTCTGGAGTTAGTGTTATATGGTTGTTCTTTTATCATCAGAGGCTGCACGCTCGTACATCTCAAGATGATCACTTGGTGGAGAAAAGCATCCTAGCGATCCAAAGCTATTTTCATAAATTTGCCATATATGAGTGAATATGCACTAAGCACAACCTACTTTAATTGCTACTCCACTGCTTAGAACATGTTCGACTTGGGAAATCCTTGGCGTGAAACTGGCAGTTCACCACTCCCTGATGAAGCCAGTTTGTGGACTTGGATCTCCAATGAAAAGAGCCCCTACAGCAGTCAAGCCCTTTCACACATGTAATCCAGAATCAAGGGAGCTGCAGGAACATCGTAATTCAGAAATTGTGTTATCTAGAAACTACTCGAATGTATTAGCGACACCCATAATCAAACTATGCTAAATGTGTACTCCCTACTTAAAAGAAAAGAAAACCCTGTATAGTATGAGGCCTTCAAAAGAAAATAAAAGGTGTTATCAAACTAATCCCTCCACTGAAAGAAAAGATAACATCAATGTAACGAGAAAAGAGACAGTTTCCCCTTCTGCAGCTTGCTGCTATCCACAATTTTAGGCATGCAGTGGGGGGGCCTGGAACCTACATCCCATGAATATACTGTACTTCTTACCTCATAGTTCTGAAGATTATCATTTTTTTCAGGAAGGCCCATGTAGCGCTCGGTGTATATCGAATCTGAGGTGGGAGGAGAGGGCAAGAGAGAGAATTCTGTAAAACATCCTTGTTTTAAGGGTAGCTGTGACGTGTCTGAGAATAGCTACATATTCTTTTTCTCAGAGGTCATTATATGGAGAAACTTTGGTACTGGAACAGTATCTACTGATGTACGTGCTCTTTTAAATCATCTACCAGCTGAAAGACTGATAATAATACTGGAAGGATGAGCATTCATCTCCCTCTATGCAATGGACTGATGACCTTGGAATACTTTCAGTACTCGAAGGAGAGGTGTGCAGGCACCGGCTTTTGTTGTACAGTATAGGGTATAGTTCTTGGAAGCCTGTGTTTTCTCATTCATACATGTATATATAGCATGGATTTAAATCGATATATTAACATCTATGCAACCACATTTTCATTGATGCTTTATAATAAAAATGGTTTAAAAAATTCTTCTCCTTAGCAATGTAATGAATGTTTTACCACTGTAGGAAAAAGATGTTTCCATTTTCCTAATAATAAACATCATAGGTAACCACATTTGTTTATTAATATTCAGCATGCAGTCACCCATGGCAACAGCATTGTTCAGTATTCCTATCTGATGCTAGAATAATATTATTATTATTCTCTCAGTAACTGTGAAGAAAATAGTAATTTCATTGCACAGCTGATTGTGACTGAATTACAATTATATTAACAAAGGGTACTATGAAAACAGGGTTATTTTTCTTTAGGACACATTAATTGCTACTCATTATCACAGATTTTCTGAATTCTGCCCCCATTCCCCCTCCATTTAGCAAAAGTTTAAAATGCTGAATCCCAACATTGTATTTCTGAAGTATGGCCAATCTGTATTTGAAAATCACAAGTACTCCTCCCAGAAAACCTTAAGAAAACAGCTTAAAGTAAGACAGGTTCCTCTGCCAAGTAGTGTCAACTTCAGCTCCCAGAGTCCTTCTGTGTTCTCAGGTAAATTCTCAGAGAAGGAATTTCTCCACTGCATCTGGATGAAGACTCTCATTTGCATGCTACACTCTGCCAGCAGAGACGCTCCCCGGAGACGGGATGGCAGTATGCATTCAAAGCCCGCAGCTTGTATCAGCACTTGTCATTTCTGATAGATGCACGTGTACAAGTGGGTACATGCAGACATGCACAAAGCACATGTGCGTGTCTGCATACATAGACACACACACACATATTAGTGGCTTGGATCCAGAAGCATATTTGTGTATATCCCATAGGAAGACAACCGTTTTCAACTTCATTTAAAAAATAAACACACCATTTCTAACTCTAGCTATGTCTACCCTCAAATCCTATACCTGTAGCTCAAGTGCATTTCTCTTTAAAGTAAAGATAAAGTGCAATAAAGTAAATTTAAAGCATACTGTACATTTTGTTGGTTGCAGAGGTAAATGTGAATGCTTCTGTATAGCCTGGAATGCTTGATCCTGCCAAATTCTGGAAGTTTAGCCGTGTCAGGCCTAGTCAGAATCTGGATGGAAGACTTGAGTCCCACACTGAACAGGGGGCTGGACCTGAAGGCCTTCCAGGCCTCTTCCAACTGTATGTTTATGATTCACCTAAAAGCTATACATTTGGGATGGAACAATGGGCAAATTGTAGGGAAGAACCTATAGAAATCCATTGTTGTCACCCAACTGATCCAAATGAAGTGCTCCTAAACCCTTCTAAAAATAATGCCTAAGGCTGCAATCTTATAAATGCTTAAGGGAATGTGGAAAAAAGGCCTACAACTCCCAGCATACCCCAAAAACCCATGCTGGGACATGCTGGGAGTTGTAGGCCTTTCCTCTATCTGAACATGCATAGGATTGTGCCTTAAGAGAGCCATCACTCAAGTGAAGAGAGCCAATGCTCCTCCAGTTTCCTCATTATTTGAATACTGGAGTCAAAGACAAGGCATAAGTAGGAGGGTGTTAATTTTCAAAGTTCCCTGCTAAGAGCTCTTTAGAAATCAAGCAAACTAATGTTGAATTTCCAACATTCAAATATTCCCAAGTAATCAGAAATATGCTTTAAATAACAGAGTAATATCCAGGAAAAGGTTAAATATCTGACCCCTCTTTTTAGAGCTCATGGTTAATAAATCAAGTTTGTAGAAATGCTAATGAATTTTATGACATTCAGAAATGATCCCTCAGCACTTTGGAACACATGGCACTTTTGAGGAATGCAAATGCAGACATTTGCATTATAGTAAAAATTTCAAATATTAAGTAATTTTGTGCCTTTTAAAGGTTAAGCAGATTATTTTCCTTTACAAGTCTACGATTTTCAGTGGCACAAATGATCCAGGGACACTGTGTAATACCCCACATGAGTTCATAGAGGCAGACCAAATGGCACTTATTGTGAGAGGAGTCTGCACAGTGTAAACTTCCTCCATGTCTTAAATATGTACCTTGATATTGCAAAGCATATGCAGCATTTGAGGGTTTGCTATTGCCGAGCTTTACACTGGAACTCTCTGACTTCCTTAGAAGGAATCACCTACCATAATATTGCCAGCGCGACACGGGGGCCACGGCTATTCCGCACTTGAAGACACCACTTCCTGATCCAAGCACCATGGAGGTCACATAACCACCGTATGACTAGGAGGAAAGAAACTGTATTATTTCAAGCGGATCGGCCAGATCAACTCAGCGTGCGTGTGCAGGCCTAGGCATGGGTTAAAGTGCTGTGCCTCACATTTCTTGGTTTTGCTCAGGCCTCCATTTCATTGGAACTTGGAGAAGCCCGGTGTGGCGTGGGGGCCACTCATCAGAGAAGTGACATATCAGCCGCCTCCAGCCATGTTGGCTGAGCCACACCGAGGCTCCCCTCCCTCTACGGCCATGCTGCTTCGGTTTCTGAGAAAGGAAACAGAGTAATGGGAGGAAAGAGAGTCTGCTCTCAGGAATGTGCCATTCCCTTCTTAGTGACTCCAGGCTAGGGTGGCTCTGGTATTATGAAAGCACCATGCAAGGAGCTCATCAGTGGATGGAGATCACATTACTCAGTGTGAGGAATCCATTTTTTAAATGCACAAATTGCAGCCCATCTTGGAGATGGAAATCTGCCCAAAAGAAAAACAAACCCCCAAATAAATAGACCTACTTCCAGTCATCAGAAAGGACACCTGCTGAATTCAAACAAGCTTTTTATGAGCAAGCATCTCTAAGTATGGGGGCATTTAGGACATTTGTCTCAGCTGTGCACCCTCCCCCCCCCAAAAAAAACACCAAAAAACAAACCCTGGGTACCAAGGTTCAGGGCAGAGCCCATGAATATACCCAGACTGCAAGCTTGCGCATTTAGGGGACTGTAATGCTCAGGCTGAACTTAGGGCTCAGTGCACGCTCCAGAGCAGTGATAGCCAATCAGATCGTTTGCTTTGGAGAACCTCTGGCGGCCTCTGCGTGGCAACTGCAGAGGATAGGAAATGCCACCTATACCTTTAAGCTTTAAAGATGCAGAACCCCTTTTGGGTCAGGAGCTGCTCAACACCACCAGGCAAAGGAAATGTACTATTGTTACTCTTGTTGTCTTTGCTATTTGTAACATGAACCAGCTCTAGCTTCTACACTCAGAAGGCTGGGAATGAAGCGTCTCTGAGAGGGTGGCAAGAGCATCTTCCCAGAGCAACTGTAGCAGAGCTGGGTGAAGGGTTGGGAAGGAAAGGTCAGGGGAGTTGTTGGGAAGGTAGGAATCCAGTGCAGGCGGGGGAAGAAGTGACAGCAGCTGCTAAATGGACACACTGGCGAGAAACCACCGATAGATGTGGTGGTGGTGGTGCATGCAATATTCTTCTTAAGGACAGCAAGATCTCTTCAAACATGTAATTTTTATACTTACCCAACCCCAAATAGCTATTCTGTTCTTATCAACAAAGCTCATTTCAGCAAACTGTCTGAGGAAAAACAGAAAATACACAAACTGCATACACTCAAGAGAAAGCATAGCTTATGCTGCCCTTCAAGGGCCTCCAAGCATTTTTAATACCCCCTCCTAGCCATGTTCTTGGAATGCAGACAAGATAGAAGTATAATAAAGTTTAATCTTTGGCACATAACCCTACAGAACATGTCCTTCTCTACCCATATTTATTTTTTTATAACTCGTACACTTGGTCTGCCTCTGTGGAAGCAATGCATAACTTTTTAATCAATTCTAATCTATTTCCTAATATTTATAAATATTGAGATGCATATATTTCATATCCATCTATTTGTAATTTATGTAGTATCTATTTCAATTTCATGTTAGAAAACTCATTCATTCATTCTCTTTTCTTTTTCCTTTTCCTTTCCCTTTTTCTTTTGTTTTCTTGAAATTCACACAAAAATGTTATTTTAAAAAAATCACACCTCATTTGCTACAAAGGAAGGAAATATTTTCATCTGTCTCATTAAAACACTAGCATCTAGGAAGGATGAAGGATGTGAAGATATTTAAAAAGGTGCTTACTTAGCTGCCAAGATCTGATCTTCAACCTCGTAGGTTCCTAGTCTTCGGTATATTGCATGTAAAATTTTGTCTCCTTGATAGCCACTTCCACGGCCATCAAAGCTAGCCACAATAATCTGCTCCGTGCTTGCAAGATACGTGGCCCAATTGATCCGAAAAGCAGCATCTGCTTTCTGACTGCAGGGCCCTGCGTACCTGTGGGATGAAACCAAGCTGATTTTGTGCCTGCTATTTTCCACTTCTTTCACAATTACTATATTTCCGAACAGGCAAATACAACTGGTGCTGAAGAGTGCAAGAAATATTCACTGCTCATCTGAGTGTTGCAATTCTTATTTGCACTCACTTTCAACAGTTGCAATTATTCTGATCTGAAAGACATTTTAGTTTTCTAATTATTCTTGTAGCTTTAGTAAGAATTTATGGGGGGTGTTATTGGGTGTTTATTTCATTGCAGATGGATCAGATTAGAGATCCAATGGCAACAATACAGAAATAGTAACGAGAGGAGAGGAGAGGAGAGGAGAGGAGAGGAGAGGAGAGATTTACACAGAAGATTCCAAGGTTAAGTAACATTTACAGCAGGGGTGAGGTATTAATCATCCTCAAGATGTTGTGACTCCCATAATCCCTTGCCTCTGGCTGATGGAATATATTACCCAAAATTTCTCAACATTGATTCAAAAGAAAATTAGGACCATGTGAAAAATCAATCATGAAATTATGTAGAGACAGAATAGTGCAACATTTCTGTGCTATTATTTATTTATATACTCTATGGCTCAGAATTCTAGCACAGTTGGCATTCATCTCTCCCTATTAAATCACTGCATTTAAAAATAATGTTTGTTTTACAAGATGCTGAGCACATACAACAAAATTGTGTTTACTTATTATTTAAAAAGTAATCATTCTTCCTTGCACAAACATTTTTTAAAAATTAAAAGAGCCTTCTGATTGGCCTCACAGACTATTCGGTTTAGAAGAACTGACCCCTGGACCCTTTGTTCAGCACCTGCAACTTTTTCAATCTTTTGCAAGCCATGTGCTTTTCCCTATGCTCCTTTGGTCTGTGCACCTTAATTAGACAAGATGAGTATATCTCCCTGTCCCCGTTTTGCAAGTGTTATATCGCTCCTAAATGTTGTAAACCACCCTGTGAGCTTCTGCTGTCGGGCGGTATAGAAGTTAAATAAAAGGTTTCATCAGCCCGTCCTTATTATCCGTCAGATCATAGCCAGCAGCCCGAATCTCTTTGACTGCTGGATCTGTCAGCACCTACATCTGGGGCACCAACCCCTCCTTAGCCAGCATGTGGTTCCAGTGGGTCCAGGATTCCAGAGCAAGCCACATACGTGCTATTGTTATGCCATCTATGACCACAAAATCAAATCCCAGCCTCCAAGATTAAGACGAGTAGAGTGAATTTCCAGTGGCAGGCTGAGATCATAATGCAGTGGTCCACTGTAAGGTCAGGTTCCCAAGCTATGCCAATGCCACTGTAGGAAACCAGGAGCTAGGCACCTTTCCCAAATCTCCGTGCCAGGAACTATTACGTTTCAACCTTCCAAACAGAGCACAGACAAATGATGTCCCCTGGAGAAAAGCCACTAGTCAAAAAAATCAAAGCTGATTTAATAGAGAGGGTTTCCACTCAAATTTATCCTCTCCCTAATGTAACGTGTCCTTGCAGGATGAGACAGTGCTTCTTTTAGCAATAAATGACCAACCTGAGATGATTCCATGGCTGCAAACTGGGGATGAAATTTCAGCAAGATCTGGGAAGAACCATTATCTGCCCTAGCAGTGAGTTTGTAGATGTCACCGGCTAGGTTAAAAAACTGCTTAAAATCTTGACTGGAAGACTGATTATTTTAGTGTATTGTTTCAACTGCTGGACTGTTATATTAATGTTTGCTTGCAGCAGTCTTTAAAACAGGAACAGACAATCTCAGCCACTTGATGAAACAGATGGTTTCGAAAGAATCAGAAACAGACTGTGACAGAAAGAAAGAAATCAAAGATAGGATGGTGATCAAGATAGATAAGAGATTGCAGAAGCGGATACCTTCAAAGCGAGCAAATAATGAAGCAAGAAACTTCCACTGCTTGAGAATGGATAAGTTACAAATCGGAAGGATCCAAAAGGCTGTGGTAACCAAATAAGGAGCAGGGTATGCTGAGATAACAAAGCTGAGATCATGAGTTGGGAAACAGCTGCTTTGAACTATGCCTTTCTGTTCTGAATAAGTTAGAACGCAGCTTTTTGTGTATCAGTGTGTCTATACAGAACATATGTAACAGAAATTATGTATCTCATGTTTGGATGTACCATATCCTCTTTCCTAGTCTGTCTGAACAACACTTACCTATGTCTATCTGGGCATTTTTCTAGATTCATGTCTTTGCCTATAGAAATGGTTTCCCACTTCAGTCTTCATCACTATAGTTTAGGCCCATTATTAGGAAAACCTGGGTCCCCAGGCATGTCCAAGGGCATGAGAATAGCTTCAGCTGGGCAAACCAAGTGAGGGGCCAGCAAGAACCTTCTGCACTCTGCTTTTGCTCAAGTTGTTTTGTCTGTGTATAGAGATAATACTTGCACATTTGGGATGCAGCTAAATGTCCAGTTGGTTTAGGGATGGGAAAACCTTGGAACTGTACATGTCCAAAGACCTAAAAAGACCAAATGGTTTTCTTAATTGTCACACTGCAATCTCCTAAGTCAATTAGGAAAATTTTCTTGATTGTTTCATCTGTTATTTTGGGTTCAACAGCAAGGGAGCATTGAAAGGCATTATTGGCATTTTTTTCCAGTTTCTGTTGCTGAGTTTGATGTTGTTTAGTAGAAATAAGTTTTGCTGTATCCCATGGAGTTTTCAAAGAAACAATCTTGAATTGTAACCATTTGCAAAAGGGCAGCCATGCTAGTGTGTGGCAGCAAAAAAATGTTTTGTGGCTCTTGAAAAGGTAGCACACTTTAATGTGCTTACTGTGGTTGCAATAATGCGCTTATTGTGGTTGTGGTTGCTCAAAAACGTTTGTAGTTGTTGAGGTGCCACAAGCCTCGTTCTTGACATCTTGGATAACATGACCAAGGACGCTGACTTACACATCAATGAGCAGAGGGTACTTCTTCGATTTATCGAAGTGAGGAGGCAAGATCATTTGATACCACAATCCTGAAAACAAAAAATGAAAATACATCACTGATGCAAGCAAGCGACAGATGTGTGCCTTTGAGCAGCGAGCCTCATCTGGGGGGAGCCACCATTTCAGCTTGAAGCAAAACCCCTATTATGTGCATACAAATAAGAGTGCAAGGCTCACGGGAACAGCGCTTGTCTATGGTAAAAACCCTCAGATCTAACAGAGCATGAATCTGGGAACCAACCTGTGCAAGGATTTCTCCCCGTGGCTGCAATGTCTGCCTCACTGGCACGTCCCACAAGCATCTTTCCTGGCTCTAGGTTCCAATTTTTTACAGGGCCATTTTATGATGATCTTTTTGGGCACCACAGTGCACTAGGAATTTGGTGTGGAAACAAACCACATTATATTCTGACTGGTATTGGCTGGAATGGTTTAATCTGCAGAACAGTTTGGTAACTTTTCCCTCTTATTTCAGGCAAGGGGAGATGGTTCACAAGCAGGACACAGGGATCTCTCATGCCTTGGCTGGTCATCATGCCCCTTTGAAGCAAAATGTTCACTTTTTGCCCTCCGATAGACCTCAGGGTGGTGCACTCCCCCTCCCCTCAAGTTTCTAGCTGCCCCGGGAAATGCAAAGGTGCATCCTACCAATTTTTCCCCCTAGGGATAGCTCTAGCTCCCCTTCAAAGGGCAGGGGGCGAGTTGACAGGACATTTTTTCTCAGTCAGGAACTGATACAGCCATCAAGATCCTCACAAAATATCAGAAAATGCCCAGCCTTATGCTTTCATGCCTCCAAAAGCTCTTGTAATATTCACATTGGTCAAAGTACAATTTCACGTCAATGCTGATGTAACTGTGAGCTTATGAATGTCCCAACCATCCTTTCCACAGTGAATGGTCTGCATCTAGGCCCCAGTTTACACAGGATTTACAACATCCATTGCAATGAACAAACTAAAAATAGAGCTGGTTTGAATTTAGTTTTAAGCAACCCCCTTTTTTCCTTTCTTTTCTTTCTTTCTTTTTACTTTTTTACAAAAACTAGATTCTTTTGTGGAGCCTCCCGGTGAGATTTATATTGACAAGACAAGACAATTTTTTAAAAATGGATATGGCATTATTAAATTGTACCAAGAGATCCTGGCCACATATTCTTGCTTAAGAACACAAGAAAGGCCTTGCTGGATCTGAGGTGTGGGCGGCAAAGCCTGGCGTCTCCAGGTAGGACTAGGAAAGAACCCTGCCTGGGTCTGTAGGGAAGAGCTGCCAGTCAGTGCCAACAACACTGGGCTAGACAGATCCATGACCTGACTCAGTGGAAAGGTCATGCCGATCCTTTTTATTTAAACAATATTTTGACAATGTTTAATATTATCTATATTGTTGTGAGCCGCCATGAGGCTTCGGCGAATGGGGCGGCATAAAAATGTTTTAATAAATAAATAAATAAATAAATAAAATAGATTTTGATTCCAACCAGAATGAATCGGGGGTTTTAATTTGTGTAATTTATATTTTTTGTATTTGTACTGGGCACTATGTTGTCTATTTATGTTTATTTGTGTAAGCTGTCCTGAGGTGTTAAGAGTTGGGTCGGCATATAAAAGCTCCAAATAAATAAATAAAGCAGGTTCCAGTGCTCCTCCTCTGATCCCCCCATACAGATGCCCCACTTGGTTTTGCCCCATTCAGCCCAACTGGTGCAGTCTTCTTCATCCTTCCAGCGGCCTGAACATCCCAGAAGCATCCCACCCACTCACATAGCAATCCTTTGCAGTCTTACCTGGGAGCATTCCCCATTGAACACAGTGGGACTTACTTCTGAGTAAACATGCATAGGACTGTGCTGTGGAGCTAGCATTGTTGACAAAGGTCTCACCAACTGCTGGGTACGATCTGCACCCTCAACAAGGCCAGTGAAGCACTGGCTGACATTCGATTTATCCCAGCCCCGAAATACTCAGCAAGATACATGTGCGCTCCCTCCGAAAGAGTTTTGGCATTCAGCTGAAACGCGAGCAGCCTAAGCAATCTTAAATTCTATTTGCTTGCCATCAAGTGTAGCCACACTACTGATTACTGCATTTATTCAAGACTTTAACACTTGGTGGAGGGAAATGGCAGAAGGCGAATAAAAGGAATTAAAAGGCAAGGCATGAGTGGGTGCTGCAGAAAGATGCCATGTGCAGACTAGCAGAATCGGGCTATGGCATCAGGGTCAGAAGCAACAAGGAAAACCATGACAGGACATGCAATATGGGAATAAGCCCAGGACATGCTTAGTTAAAAAAAGTCATTTGGGGAGGTCATTCCGATTTCAGCAGGGGTTGTGGGACTACTCTCAGCAAGGTGCATGAAATGGAAAAATCCTACATTTTAAGAGAATGCAGGGTGGTTACTTTTTATATAGCTTGCAATATTTATAGACTTATAATCAACGCAAGAAAAACAACTTTCTTCTTGTAAAGCAAGCGAAACAAAAATAGCCATTCGGAATGCAGAACAGAAATATGGGTGCTTGTGAGAATTAGTGAAATGCAGTCCAAGATAGGGGGGAAAGCAGCGTCCTCTCTATGAATAGGAAACCTGCTTTGCTGGTAACTGCAGTGTTAGTATTGGGAGGGTGTTGTATTGAGAAAATATATGATACTTCAATGTACAGCCCCGTCTAGTGAAACAAAGGAATTTGTCTTACCCATTAGCTCCTACCCTGGAGAAGCTAAGCAGTGAGAGAAAGAAGGATTAGATAAAGATGAACATACAAGTGACAAGAAGGATGCAATATCTACAGTTCAGATATTATATCTTTTGATCCAGTAAAAATTACTTTAGAAAGAAGCAAAAAAATGAAAACAAAAAAGGGAGGGATATACAGAAGGCTGTATGTGCAAGGAAGGGCAACGAATAGAATAGAAACATGGAATGCAGAAAAGCCAAGTATCAGTATATATAAAACGAGAATTTTGCTGGGCAAGGAGTGTGACTGCTAGATTCTATACATGTTTCCTTGGAAAAGAGTCCCTCTGAATTCAGTGGGATACACCCAGATAATAAGCATATACAGCATTTCAGACTCATCACAGAAACACAGGAACAGTCTGAGGGAACTGGCTGGAGCTTCCAGGTTCAGAAACAACTGCAAAGTAGTGTAGCAGCTGAATAAAGAAAAGGGAGGACATGAACAAGTACAGCAGCTGCTAGTTACTTGCATTCATCTTCTTTCATTAACCTTCATGCCTAGTTTATCCACTATGTTAGCATTAAAATTGGAGGGGTCACTTAGGTATCTTCCAAAAAGAGACAAGCATCGCCACAGGAGGATGCTCATTTGCACAACATTTTTCACAAGCTTATCTATATTCATAGGTCAGAACTTGAGAATTTGATGCTAGTGAATATAGTCCGAGCAACCTATCTGCACACCATGGCAGGGGATGCAGCTCAATAGTCAAGCGCCAGTGCCGCATGCAGAAGGTCCCAGATTCAGTCCCCAGCATCTGCAGGTAGGGCTAGAAAAACTAGTGCCTGAAACCATGGACAACCTCTGCCAGTCAGTGTCAATACTACTGGTCTAGCAATCCTTTTAACTGAACCCATGATAAGTTGCATCTCTGCAACAAGAAGACTGTACATTCTCCCCAAACAATTTAACCTTTCAAGAATAGTGTAGTTTCATAAAAATCTAGGTTTTCCAACAGCTGATGGCATATACCAGTGTAAGCCAGAAACCTGCACCTGGTTTGTGTGGTGATGTAACAGAGAAAATAAATATCCACTCGAGGCAGAAATTTTAGTCTAGCGGTCATTCCTTTGCACTACATCAGCTGCTCTGGTCTTGCTAGTCCAAACAGCAGGCTGGGATCTAGCAGGAATCACCAGCAAGGTGACTTGTTGCAAGAGTGAGATGCTGAATCAGCACACCTGCTATCCACAGATTCCAACCAGAAGTGCCCTATAGGGCCCCCTGACTACAAAAATATGTACAGTTACTTTCACCTCTCCATGCATGGTGACTTGCTTGGACATCCCTCCATTACCACAGAGCACGCAATGGCTGCCTTCAGTTGCCAGGGATCACAGCACGCGACTGGCTGCAGGCCACATAAGGAAATGTCCATTCATGTTGAGAATTAAATGAGAGAGTAGTTCCCAGTCACGGTGAAGGATTGAATACATTCAAAAATTAGGAATCATCCAGGGTATTCTGGATGCACATCTGCTCCCTTATTGTGTTTAAGAGTTAAAAGTTTGTTCCATTTTGTTCAAAATATACAACCAGCTTGTAAACTTACTTTCTCCGTGCAGGGAAATGCTTTCTAGTATTTTGGAGGGCATCTGGATATCCTTCAGCACATTACTAAGTACTGTATTGTTTTGCAGAATCTTAATGACTACAAAACAAAACAAAAATGAAACAAATACATACAGCAGTTGAGGTTACTTATAGTTAAAAGATCTCTAAAGTGCAGATAAAAACACAAAAACCTGTTTCACATACAATGACAACCCATGGTATGGCAGAGTTTGCAGATGAGCCAGAGTTCACAACCCAATAACATGCTATATCTTCCCTTCCTAGGTTGTTCATGATTAAAAATCCACAGCTAAACAATACTGCAATGTCTGCATGTAATGACAACCCATGGTCCTCCAGCAACTCACGCTCAGCCTATATTCAACCCATATTTATTTATTTAGAACATTTCTATGCCGCCCCATTTGCAAAAAGCCTCGGGGTGGCTTACAAAATAAAGAAACAATCATATAATTAACCATATATAACCCATAATGCAGAAAGGGAGAACTCTTGCTATGATGTGTGAATCAGGCTTGTTGTACTACTAATACAATAGTATGAGAGTATTAAAATGCCAACTCATTTAGACCAGACATACTAACAGCTTTTATTAATTCAATCCAATGATGCTTGCATTAATTGCATCAAATACTTGAAAGGCTGTCACTCAGAGGAGGGCCAGGATCTCCTCTTGATCACTCCAGAGTGCAGAACATGGAATAAAAGCTCTAAGTTATAAGAAGACAGATTATGTCTTGAAAAATTTCCTGACTTAAAGGAGTACCAATTGGAACCAATTACCTAGGGAAACTGTGGGCTTTCCCATGCTGGGGGCATTCAAGATGCAACTGGACAGCCATCAGAGAGGGATGCTTTAACTGGGAGCCCTGCACTTAGTAGGAGGGTGGACCTGATGGCCTTCTGGTTCCCTTTCAACTCTCCTAGTCTATGGTTCTGTGACTTATGGTCTGCTGTCCTGACTGTGAAATAAAGCAATAAAAAGAGGAAGGCAAATGAAATATATTAATGGATCTCATTCACAGGCGGTCATAGAGGTATGGAAATGGCTGTCTAATTATAAGCATCTTTCCTGTTCAATTTTCATCCACCTGAGACAGGAAGAGGACAACCATCAGGTGGAAAAATACATATGAGGTTACGAGTCCTGTGTTCATAAGGGCTCAGAAACGTCAATCTCGTTGACAGTCTACTAGAGCTGAGGTGAGGGGAGGTTTCCTTCAAGAGCCAGCAAACCCACTCAACTGCACAAAGAGTGCTGATGTAGAGAATGGAGAAACAAAGACTTCTACCGCAAAGGCCCCTGGGGTAGATGCCAGCAATTGCCTGGAGGACTAAGAGGGACCAAGGGAGAAAGAAAGAAATGCCAAGTGGGCAATCATGGGTTGGGAGTAATGGACAAGTCACCTGGCCAACATAGCTTACTCATGCCCTGCAGTCATGCCGTTGCTAGTAACAATACTATTATTTATAATGCGCTTTGTCCAAATAGCCATATGATTTCTGAAGGACACCTGTAACAACTCTCAGTGCTGAGCTCTCAAGGAAAGGAATGGCAGGCAACTGGAGTGATCTTTTTTTAGTGCAGCACCATATGGACACTTACTTGGAAGGACCTATTCTCTGTGGGACCTCTGTGGGACCTATTTCTGAATAAATATGCATGGGATTACTCTGCAAGACCATTAGGGATTATGAGAAGAAGGAAACAGCATATAGTACAAGTATACAGCTGGGGAAAGGAAAAAGACAATAAAAACCAGTGCTGGTTACAAGCAAACAGAAGGTGCAATGGACAAGAACAAACAGTGGCAGAAAAAGTAATCTGAACACTTTTCTGTAAATACTTCTCTTTTACTGACAGAAATGTTTTGAATAAGACTAGAGCATTCAAAATCTAAGTTGCAACTCACAAACATGAGCCCCAATTTGGCAATATCCCTGCTTGCCAGATTTGCTTCACATGTAAGGGCAGAGTAAATAGAATAATAGAACAGTAGAGTTAGAAGGGGCCAGAAGGTCCCTGGTATTGCAGGACACTACAATACACTACAAAATAATATATATCATGTACTTGTAGAGAGACCAAGTCCTTGACAACAACTGACAAAGGATGACTAGATCTGAGATGAAAGAAAATACCTTTTGGCATCCTTACATAGAAGAGTTCCTCACATGCACTACACTAAAGAGGACGTTTTCCTGTTTCCTCACCCAGGATCATTACAGAGCCCACCCATTTCACTTAAGTTGCTCTCTGTACATGCGATTCAAGACAAAATTTACTGCTTTTCCAAATGATAGCGATAGGTTAGATTCATACCCTCAACGTTGCAGTTACTTGGAAATAAATCCCATTCAGTGCCATGGGATTTATTTGCAAGTAATCATGCATAGAGTTAGACTGCTGGGGTGCAATCTTATGCATGCTTTTTCAAGTAAGAACTTATGCATAGGATTATGGATAAACTCATTCTAAAAGCAGAGAATTCAGAAAATGGTAAACAACCAAGAATTGCTATGTATTTTCAGATTTTTAAAAACAAAACAAAACAAAATTAAAAGTACCTTTAGCTGTACTGCTGTTGTGTAAGGTAAAATACGGAAGACCAGGACCTGTTATTAACAGAGTGTAAAAAATGCAAGTTATTCTCTTTATTTTGCTTTATTATTATTATTATTATTATTATTATTATTATTATTATTATTATTACATTTCTATGCTGCCCCTTGCCGAAGCCTCAGGGCTTTAAGACATGCAGAAAATTCCCTTACCTGTTTGACCTAACTTTAGTCAAACCCATTACCCATTGGAGCTCAGGCAGAGGCCAGTTTGAAGAATAAGACATGGGCTGAAGGGAATCTTTGGGTGGTTTCCCTATAGCTTTAACTGAAGGGTCATTAAATCTCTTCCATCTATGTTTCACAAATTGTCAAGCATCTTTTGCTTCATTGTCCATTCATTGACAGAATCAGGTTTGAAGGGATTTATAGTGTGCTCAAGTGCACACTAGTGCTCATGCAAGTGTGCACAAATCCCACCCCTGCAAAAGTGAAAAGCAAGCAAGCAAGCAAGCAATCTGCAAGAGCACAGAATCCACGCAACTCAGGAAAAGCCAGTCTGCTATGAAATCGGCAGCTTAGCTGCACAGAAATCTGTGTCCGGCAAATTCATTGTGGATTCCTTAGATATCCCTAGCTCCACACTGACTATTGAAATGAACAGGACTCAAGTTAGTTGGGATTAGACCCATTCATTTCAATGGGTCTCATCTATGTAGGACTACTGTTTACCTCCATCTTTCTCCTATTTCCCCAAATACCTACATGGACGCCGCAATGTCTGACCTTCTGTCATCCCAGGGAGCAGAAATAAAAGCGATATTTCCATGAACAGTTCGCCACTATACACACCACATACCAAAAGTTTAAAAGCTGCCCATGCTGCACACATTATTACATTTAATCCAACAACTGTAATACTACTGATAAAGCCAGGAAAATAAGTTGTGGGTTGAGTCTCCAAGGAGAAAAGCTCTACATTCATTGTGCAATTTTTATTATCTTGTGAAAAAGTCCAGAACAAACTACTGTAATGAACAGACTAATTCTGCTGATTGTGGTTATTCATTAGCTTTTTCCTCTAATTTGTTGTAGGGGTGTTAGGAATATATATACTAGGAATATTGCCTATACATATTTATTTGAGTTGTAGTCTGCCTTTCTCTCGAGAAACCAGCATTCACAATGGCTTATAGTAAATACTTATAATAAATAAAAAAGAACTTTCTTAAACAGTAAGGAAACAAATACATGAAAAACACAATTCAAAACACAACAGCCCTCCATCCAACAAACCCTCTTATAATACAGTATCCCATTCTACAGAATAGCCACAGCTCAAGCTAGACTGGCTAGCTTAAGCCATGTCACATGCTGGCACCCACTGATCCCCATTTGGCTAATGACTCACTGGTACACAGCATGCTGTGTCATCCAAACCTGGCAGGCATGATTTGTTGGGTTATTGGAAGGTTGTTTCCCCCCTGAACAAGCCAGACTGCTGGGGTTCAGACAACACAACAAGTTGCAGCCAGTTGGCTCTTTAGGCAAATAGCATCCAGCATGCAATGGCACACACCACACTGATCATGCAAAGTAGGCCATCATTTATTTCAATAACATTTAGACATACACCCAAATGTCAGATTAGGTAAACACTCATTAAGTTGTTGTCAGTTGTGGACATGATCCAGACAGCCCCCTGAAGCACCTGGAAAGGTCCCACTGCACGCACAAGGCTCCATCCTTGAAGCAGCAGCTTCTCTTGCTCTACTGTTGCCTGCATCAGGCTATCTATGGATTGAGCCAGGGACTTCATGAGCCATTTATGATCTGTAGGCTGCAGAGCCCTCTTCAGAGGTGGTGGTGGTGGTGGTAAATAATAATAATAATAATAATAATAATAATAATAATAATAATAATAATAGGAAAATGCACCAGAAAACTGTGCAATTGACATGCAATAAGGATTTATGATAATTCCATTTGGGGAGTGAATACTTGATATATTTTCCAGCTCGCCCTGTGGATTTATTTCTCCCATATCACTCAATAACTGAAGTTCTCTGGATGGTTACTGGCCTCCCAAGAGCTGAAGCTCTATGCAAGTTTTATTCTGCTTTCACCCTGTTGGTATCAATGGAGTATGCAGTAAGTCAAGCCAGTACACAAATTCCAGGAACCTTTTGTAATGTTTGCAATTATGGTTTGTACAAATAGTGAACAAGAAAAATGAAGCAAAATAATCAGAAAAAAGCCACCACATTTTATCACTGCTGACCTGAATGGAAATACTGTAGAATCTCATCGGGTTTAAGTGGAACAGATTCCCCAGTGTTGCACAGCACTAGTACGAAGTCCCTGGACTGGCCAAGTGACAAAACGTGATCCACTGGAGAAGGAAATGGCAACCCACTCCAGTATCTTTGCCATGAAAACCCCATGGAAAGTACCAAAAGGCAAAAAGATATGACGCCAGAAGATGAGCCCCTCAGGTCGGAAGGTGCCAATATGCTACTGGGGAAGAGCAGAGGGCTAGTACTAGTAGTGCCAGAAAGAATGAAGCGACTGGGTCAAAGCCGAAAGGACACTCAGTTGCTGATGTATCTGGTGGTGAAAGGAGAGTCTGATGCTGCAAAGATCTATACTCCATAGGAACCTGGAATGTAAGATCCATGAATCAAGGCAAGCTGGATATAGTCAAGCAAGAGATGACAAGACTGAACATCGACATCTTAGGAATCAGTGAACTAAAATGGACAGGAATGGGTGGATTTAATTCAGATGACCATCAGGTATGCTACTGCGGGCAAGCATCCCTCAGAAGAAATGGAATAGCCTTCATAGTTAATAAAAGAGTAGGAAAAGCAGTACTGGGATACAATCTCCAAAATGACAGAATGATCTCAGTTCGAATGCAAGGCAAACCATTCAACATCACAATAGTCCAAGTCTATGCCCCAACCACTGGTGCTGAAGAGGCTGAAGTTGACCAGTTCTATGAAGGCCTACAGCACCTTCTAGAATTAACTCCAAAAAATGATGCCCTTATCATCATGGGGGATTGGAATGCTAAAGTAGGAAGCCAAAAGATAACCGGAATAACAGGCAAGTTTGGCCTTGGAGTACAAAATGAAGCAGGGCACAGGCTGGTAGAATTTTGTCAAGAGAATACGATGGTAAGAGCAAACACTCTTTTCCAACAACCCAAGAGACGACGCTACACATGGACATCACCAGACGGTCAACACAGAAATCAGATTGACTATGTGCTCTGCAGCCAAAGATGGAGAAGCTCTATACAGTCAGTAAAAACTAGACCAGGAGCTGACTGTGGCTCAGATCATGAGCTTCTGGTTGCAAAATTTAGGCTTAAGTTGAAGAAAGTAGGGAAAAGCACTTACACCACTCAGGTATGACCTAAATCATATCCCTGATGAATATACAGTAGAGGTGACAAATAGATTTAAGGAATTAGATCTCATAGACAGAGTGCCTGAAGAACTATGGACGGAGGTTCGCAACATTGTGTAAGAGGCAGCAACTAAAACCATTCCAAAGAAAAAAAAATGCAAGAAAGCAAAATGGCTGTCTGCAGAAGCTTTACAAATAGCTGAGGAAAGAAGGGAAGTGAAAGGCAAGGGAGAAAGAGAAAGAAACAAACAATTGAATGCAGAATTCCAGAGAACAGCTAGAAGAGATAAGAATGCCTTCTTAAATGAACAGTGCAAAGAAATAGAAGAAAACAATAGAATAGGGAGGACCAGAGATCTCTTCAAGAAAATTGGAGATATGAAGGGAACATTTCATGCAAAGATGGGCATGATAAAAGACCAAAATGGCAGGGACCTAACAGAGGCAGAAGAGATTAAGAAGAGGTGGCAAGATTACACAGAAGAACTATACAAGAAAGAGCTTAACATCCCTGATAACCACGATGGGGTGGTCACTGACCTCGAGCCAGACATCCTGGAATGTGAAGTCAAATGGGTCTTAGGAAGTCTGAGCAACAACAAAGCTAGTGGAGGCGACAGTATTCCAGTTGAGCTATTCAAAATCCTAAAAGACGATGCAGTAAAAGTGCTACACTCAATATGCCAGCAAATTTGGAAAACTCAGCAGTGGCCACGGGATTGGAAAAGGTCAGTTATTACATTCCGATCCCAAAGAAGGGCAATGCCAAAGAATGTTCAAACTACCACACCATTGCACTCATTTCACATGCTAGCAAAGTTATGCTCAAAATCCTACAAGCTAGGCTCCAGCAGTATGTGGACCGAGAACTACCAGAAGTACAGGCAGGATTTCAAAGAGGGAGAGGAACTAGAGATTAAATTGCCAACATATGCTGGATCATGGAGAAAGCTAGGGAGTTCCAGAAAAACATCTACTACTGCTTCATTGACTATGCTAAAGCCTTTGTGTGGATCACAACCAATTGTGGCAAGTTCTTAAAGAGATGGGAGTACCAGACCATCTTATTTGTCTCTTGAGAAACCTATATGTGGGTCAAGAAGCAACAGTGAGAACTGGACACGGAACTACTGATTGGTTCAAAATTGAGAAAGGAGTTCGGCAAGGCTGTATACTGTCGCCCTGCCTATTTAACTTATATGCAGAGCACATCATGAGAAAGGCGGGGCTAGATGAATCACCAGTTGAAATTAAGATTGCTGGAGAAATATCAACAACCTCAGATATGCAGATGATACCACTCTCATGGCAGAAAGTGAAGAGGAACTAAAGAGCCTCTTGATGAGGGTGAAGGAGGAGAGTGCAAAAGTTGGCTTGAAACTCAGCATTAAGAAAACTAAGATCATGGCATCCTGTCCTCTCACTTCCTGGCAAGTAGATAGGGAAGAAATGGAGGTAGTGACAGATTTTATTTTCCTGGGCTCCAAGTTCACTGCAGATGGGGACTGCAGCCAAGAAATTAAAATACGCTTGCTCCTGGGGAGGAAAGCTTTGGCAAATCTAGACAGCATACTAAAAAGCAGAGACATCACCCTGCCAACAAAAGTGTGTATAGTCAAGGCCATGGTTTTCCCAGTTGCAATGTATGGCTGTGAAAGCTGGACCATAAGGAAGGCTGAGCGCCAAATAATTGAGGCCTTTGAATTGTGGTGCTGGAGGAGATCAAACCGGTCAGTCCTAGAGGAGATCAACCCTGACTGCTCTTTAGAAGGCCAGAACCTGAAGATGAAACTCAAATACTTTGGCCACCTAATGAGAAGGAAGGACTCCCTGGAGAAGAGCCTAATGCTGGGAACAATAGATGGCAAAAGAAGAAGGGGACAGCAGAGGATGAGGTGGCTGGATAGAGTCACTGAAGCAGTTGGTGTGAGCTTGGGTGGACTCTGGGAGATGGTGGAGGACAGGAAGGCCTGGAGGAATGTTGTCCATGGGGTTGCGATGGGTCGGACATGACTTCGCAACTAACAACAACAACAACAATATAAAGTCCTAAGTACCAAGTTACATTTTTGTCAGTTAGTGTTAGCTGTACTCACCATAGCAATTCAGCTTAAAGTATCTTGCACCTGGGCTGAAAGCTACTGAATAGTACATACATCTTTCCTGTTCTAGAGTACAGCTGATGCATGTTTTTTTCAAGCCATGTTTCAATTCCACTCTGCATACATGATAAAAAGAGAAAGGCAACATAACATTTAATACAGCTTTCATTAAATTATAATTTTATTAAGAATCCAAACAAAATTATTACCACTACCTCTACTATGTTACATTATATTCCACCTTTCTTTCCCTTGCAATGAACTAGGGTGACTTAAAAGGTTTTGCTCCTAAATATTATTCATATTTTGGTTTTTTCCTGCAAGGAATCCAAACAGGCTTATATGATCCTCATCTCCACTTTATCTTAGGCTGAGAGTCTATGACTTTGTCAAAGTCACCCAGTATTCTGAGTGGGGACTAGAACCCCAATCTCCCATGTTTCCCTCCAATACTCAAATCACTATCCCAATACACAAACCAGTGTGCCAAATTGTCTTGGATTGTCTTTGGAATGCTCTTGGTATATTCTTGTCTTGTCTTTGGTATATTCTATAGTGCTAACACTTCTTCCAAAAAAGTCCTTTCCTGTTTTTCAGTGGTGTGAGCCAAACCCTTTTCCCATGAAGTTTTAATTTATTCACTAAAAACTTTTCTATCCAATCCCCTACAGAATGTCTCGGGATGGCTTACAATAAATAAGTAGAATAAAACAAGCCCCACAGCATCCGGCCATTAATATACTAAAACCCCTGTTAACTGTCACCCAGCGATTTGCACAACTACAATTTCTTCTGCTCAGGCACTACTGGATTCAACGCATAGCCTAACCATTTCAAAAGATCAAGCAATACCCATTCTAAGTAATTCTGATCCTCAGTCATAAAAGCCTATTTTTTTGCATTCCTTGCTCTGCAGTTTAGTTTGTTCTGTAAAGAACTTCAAAGCATTTTAAAATCATTTTCTTTTATTTAGGAAAGCTAAAAATAACTTTATCAATTTCTAAAAATATGTTACTATATTATTTTTTTCCTACACTGTCATGTCAGTATATGCAGCATAACATAGCTGTGCTTAAAGATATCTTACTTATACAGATTTCTCCCTCCTGGTTTACTTTCAAATTCATTACTGATGAAGTATCTGTGAACAAGAAAACAGATTACTGATTGATTTGTAAATCTAATTAGAAATGATTAAAAACATAGACTAAGAAAACATACACAAAATAAAATAATTCAGAACCACAAGCAAATATAAAGGAAGGTGATCAAATCAACAAGCATAAGTAACATACAATAACAATACCATGTGACTAAAAGAATTGGTACATATACCGTTCAAAAGGTTATTATTTACCATTGTTAGCATAACAATGTGCACCAAAAGACAGAAATAAAGTAGCAAACCAAAAAATGATTCCTAGTACATATTACTGGTCATATTTGACTGATTTCTCCATTTCACCTTTGAATTTTTTATTAATAAACCATACATTGCCTTGAGAGCATATGAGATGTTAAATAAATACATCTTCGTCATGGCTATTTGTTCAACTGCCTTGACACATTTCTTTTACACATCTTCCATCAAAAGAAAATGGATGCAACACTAGCTTTAGTTCAATGAGGACTATAGGATTTTTGTCTTTAGGGGGCATAATGATTCAGTCTGCCTGGAAAACAGATGCCACGAGGCAGCTGTGCAAGGTTCCAGACCAGTCCCAATGGAACACTTCAGTTTAGTGGAATCACTCTGAGTAGCTCTGCAGGGAATCCCCGTGCTAATAGGTACCACTTTAATATGGTAACATTTAATATCTTCCAGTGTAATACTATAGAGCAAAAGCCATTGTGCGGATCAGTATAGCTGCAGAAATGAAATATCATTTTTCGCAGCCTGATCAAAGAAAGATCTAATGATCCATTGCTTGCTGTGATCACTTTGCAGTGCACTCTGAGGATAAGGTTGCTCAACAGACAATGCCCATCAAATATTGGAGGAACGAGTTTCACAGCTGATGCTGGATGATGTGGACGGAGCCCTTGGATTTGTCCATCCAACCACATGTGTTCTTGCTCTCTACCCTTCTTGCCCTGCGTGCCACATGTCCCACTGTCTGGCACCTGCATAGAAGTCATGGGCGTGTACACAGTTTATTGGGCTCCTGGCTCAGAGGAAACAAGGGCTCTACCTTAGGTAGAGGGTTCCATCTTTTCTAACCACTGGGAGAGGTTGTCTGGCAGGATGGGGCAAGGTGTTTCTTCTTCTAAAGGAAGGAACCACTGCACCAGAGCCTAACAAATTAAGATGGATTATGTTCGCCTTCTTTAGTCCAGTACAATATGATACTCACAGATAGTCATCAGTTAAAGCATCAATGCTGATTACCTCCCACTTTCCAACTGTAATAGGAGTCACAACCTAAATGCAAAGCAAGAGTAATCAGAAATTCTATAAGCTCCATCGTACGAGAACAAAATACTTTGATATCTATTTTACTTACTCCTGTGCCATTAATGTAGTGGATGTGCTTATACCCATCCTTGTCACTCATTATTTTGTAATAGCTAGAATTGTCAGAAGCAAAGTGAGGCTCTGAAGGCTGAAACTGGAAAAACAAGAACAAAATGTGCATAGCATAATGATCACCATAAGTTTTGATAATCTTTTAAATATTTAGCTCTACAGCCTGACAACACTTCTAACAAGAATCTCAGAAAAACGCAGCCACCCCCATTCTTTTGTAATTCAGGCAGGAGGAAAACCTGTTTTATTCTTCATGGGACATCATATTGCTAATATTTTAAAGAACAGACAGAACTGAAATATGACTAAAATGTTAATTACGGGCACACAAAAATTGACTTCTTCTCCAATTTTCTGAGATATTTTTTCAAGACACTTTGTCATGAGGCTAACCTAGATGGATCAATCCCCTTGCCAAAACCTTGTGTTCCAGACAAAAGGAGGCTGAACTGCAATAGCACTGATAATGAGTTGATAGGACTGCTTTATGGCAGGCCACTGAACCAGTTGTTCCCAGCCCTGTGACTGCAGAAGTCCTATTTGTTTACTACTCTAGACGTCACTGCTGCTTATTGCATTGTATAGCATAGTTGGATGTATGTGTAAATTATTTTAGGATGAACCCTTACTTAAGTCTCCTAGAGATGTCTGCATCAGTCTCACATGAAAGACACCGATATGGGAGCGAGACATTTAAATCATACTCTCACCTGACAGAAAGCTTATCAGTTCTAAAATGGTCTTTTACAGAGTTGATATTTTTCCCATACAGACAAAATTAAATGGTACAATTGTGTGAGGGTAAAGGATATCCAAACGGTTAAAAAATAAAACTTTAGCATATAACCAATTCAGAAGTGTATTCAATAATATTTCAACACTGGGCATTTTCAGTGGCTAAACACCCTTCACTGCCAACAGGGATCTCTCTTAATTCATCAGTGTCCTCAAAAGTTGCCCTTTACAGGAACATGGTAATGATCAAAAATATTTATGTCAAGAAGTGTTTTTGAGAACGCTAATTAATGTTGTCGTCACACTGTGGATCCTGTCCCCGTGTGCTTAATTTTAAGTGCAGAAAAAGGATGCATGAAACACATTATATTTGTTTAATGTATGCACAGACAGCTTTCTGCAACAATTATTTCGACTGGTTATCTGTGCATTCATGGATGTGTCACATGCCTGTGCAAAACCATGATTTGGAATGTTCCACAGCTCAACAGGGTTTTTAGCAAAACTCCCTCCCTCCCTCCCCTGCTGCTCTGCATGTACTCTGCAAAAGGAGGTGGTTAGAGGGATTAGGCGAAAGAGGAACCTCCGCAGGAAATGGGTACTGGGGCAAACAGACAAAAGGGTATACCAGGAAAGGAGGCCCGTTGCAGAAGGATTCTTCGCAAGGCTAAGGCTGATTACGAGCTGAAACTTGCCAAGAATATCAAGAGCAACAAAAAGGGCTTCTTTCAGCATGTAAATAGGAAGAGGAAGGGGAGACAAGCGGTGGGACCACTAATAAGGAGGAAGGAGATCCAGTGACTCATACGAGGGAACAGGCACAGATGCTAAATGACTATTTTGCCTCTGTGTTCTCCCCAAAGCAGGATGGGGGATATCCGCATAGGAGATTAGATGAGGCTGGGGACTTAGGGGCACACATTAGAGTCACCCCCCTTGAAGTTGAGGGGCTCCTCAGGGCATTGGACATTACAAAGTTGCCAGGCCCTGATGGGTTACACCTGATAGTACTTAGAGAGTTGGCAGGGGTTCTCTCACGCCTGCTGACCTCCATTTTTGAGGCCTCGTGGAGAACAGGTGAAGTTCCAGAGGACTGGAGGGTGGCATCAGTGGCCCCAATTTTCAAAAAGGGTAGTAGAAAGGACATAGAGAATTATAGACCGGTTAGCCTTACGTCCATTGTAGGAAAAACAATGGAAAGGCTCATAATAGAGAGAGATAGGGAAGGGAGGCTGACAGCCACACAACACGGCTTCCGCAAAAACAGGTCCTGCCAGACAAACCTTGTGCAATTCTATGACAAGGTTTCGAGATGGCTAGATGGAGGGGATGCAGTGGATGTGGTATTCCTGGATTTCAGCAAGGCCTTTGACAAAGTGCCCCATGATATCCTGGTGGAGAAAGTGAGGAGTTTTGGGATACACCAAAGCACTGTCCGGTGGATTAGGGCATGGTTGACTGACCGAAAGCAGAAGGTAACCATTAATGGGGAATCATCGGGATGGCGGCCAGTAACAAGTGGGGTCCCCCAGGGCTCTGTCCTGGGGCCGATCCTGTTTAATCTTTTCATTAACGACATGGAAGAAGGGGTGAACAGTCTGCTGATCAAATTTGCAGACGATACTAAAACTGGAGCAGTGGCCACAATTGAGGAGCAGGTACTCCAGATCCAAAAGGATCTGGACAGACTATGGAAGTGGGCAGGAGACAACAGGATGGCGTTCAATGTGGATAAGTGCAAGGTCTTGCACTTGGGGCATAGGAATAGGTGTCATAAGTACAGGTTAGGTGATAAGTGGCTGGAGAGCAGCACTTGTGAAAGGGACCTCGGGGTACTGGTTGACTGCAGGCTAAACATGAGTCAGCAGTGTGATGCGGTGGTCAAGAGGGCAAACGCCACCCTTGGTTGCATAGCCAGAAGTGTGGCTTCTAGATCAAGAGAGGTATTATTACCACTCTACACGACTCTAGTGCACCCGCAACTGAAGTATTGTGTTCAGTTTTGGGCCCCTCATTACAGAAAGGATATAGTCAGGTTAGAGTCAGTGCAGCGTAGGGCCACAAGGTTGGTGGCCGGTTTGCAGGGGATGCCGTATGAGGCGAGACTGAGGGAACTGGGTCTCTTCAGCCTGGAGAAGAGGAGACTCAGAGGGGATATGTTGGCGACATACAGGTATGTGAGGGGATGTCACATGGAGATGGGTAGAGACCTGTTCTCCCCTGCAGAGGAAGGCAGGACACGCTCCAACGGAGCAAAGCTCAGGGAACCGAGGTTCCATTTAGATGCCAGGAAGCACTTCCTGACAGTTAGGACCACGAGGGTGTGGAATGGGCTTCCATGAGAGGTCGTTGAGGCCCCATCGGTGCGGGTGTTCAAGGATAGGCTGGACGTCCACATGGTGGGCATGTCGTGAGCGGAGCTGGCTGGTGCCGGAGGTCGGACTGGATGGCCTGGGAGGCCCCTTCTGACTCGCTCTGTTTTCTATGTTTCTATGGTCATGGTCCTCACCAGCCTCTCAATTCCAAGGCTATCACAGCAGAGGAACCTTGAGAAACAGCCTGGGAACTTTGAGAAACAACTAAGCAAGGCACTGAAGTGAGGAGGAGGAAAGGTTCTACGAGTGCACAGAACTACAGCTGCAGCTAAGCGATCAGTCCTTCTTTGAGATCTTTGAGTGTCACACATCTGGGCGGGCAGCAAGCAACAAAGACTTCCTGGAGCAGGAAAATGCCCTGCCAAGAATAGAGACAATGCTGCATCATGGCATGCTGTGGTGTCAAGTAGTGCTTAAATAATGTAGACAGTTGCGCCCAGGTGGCTGCTCTACAAAGCTGTGGGAGCGGAGTAATTTGGAGGAAAGCTGCTGATGAAGCCACAATTCCAGTCAGGTGCTCCCATAACTGTAAAGCAGGTGGGAAGGGTGCTGATGGGTATCTGCAGCACACAGTGGAAACCACTTAGTAGTGCTTGGCCCTTCCTAGGGCCAAAGTGGCAAACAAAAAGCTAGTGATTTTCTTGAAGGATGCAGTCCCGGAAACATAGAAAGCCAGAATTCTTCTGAAGTCTAGTGAATACCATCTCACCTCCACAGGAAAGCAGATAGACTAAGGAAGAAAAACTGGAAGTGCTATACCTTGGGCAAGATGAAAGTGAGATTCAGATTTAGAGAGGAAAGTGCATTTTGGTCACAAAGCCATCTTATCTCTGTGAAAGAGGAGGACTGGCCTGTAGTGTGCAGAAATAAGGGAACAAATAAGAGAAGGGCTTATAGTGAGAAGCCAAAGGCTGGTCATGGCTAATGGTTCAAATGGTTTTGATGTTAGCTGAGTCAGGACTACGTTCAGTCTTTGAGGAGTAGCTAACAAGAGTTCTTGGTGGCTAGAGATTGATGAGAACTTTAAGAAAATACTTGACACAGAGATGGGCAAAAACAGAGGATCGTTTCTTTATATACCCATGTATTCCTCTCTAGGTCTTCTAGCTGAAGTATGTTCTTCTATGGGTTCTTGTATTTGACTACTGGCTTCTCCCGTTGGTCCTTCCATCTGCTGCTACCCCCCCAATTGATTTTTCCCCTGAGTCAACAAATATTTATAATAAAACGAGCTCCAGACAACTGTGATAGAGTAATGGCATACAGCTGTGATTTCTGATGAGACTGCAACAAAGTACATGCCAGAAATGAAAATGGAAAAAAGAATTTTTTTTATCCTCTTTGCTAGTTTATGGCACACTCTCATTTTTCACTGTCTGTCTGTCTGTCTGTCTGTCTGTCTGTCTGTCTCTCCCTCCCTCTCTCTCTCTCTCTCTCTCTCTCTCTCTCTCTCTCTCTCTATATATATATATATATATATATATATGTTTCCACAACATATTCAGTCTGCTTTACTGAGACTGTATAGTGTCGAACTAAAATGCCTTAGCAGCAGGGTCTTCACTTTCTGAGCAAGTATGACTGTAGGTGGGATTAGCTCCCATCTTTCTGGGGTACATTTTTCATCCCCCTTTTCTTCTTCTCACTGTTTCCTGAAAGCTCTCTTTGGTGAAAAATGGGGAATGTAAAAAGCCACAGCTTGTAAAAGAAATGGGAAAAGATCACAAGCATCTTTGGATCTAAGCATGTAGCTACTTCCTTCACTTTTACAAGAAAGAGAAACTGGACAGTAAGGGCCACAAAGGTGGCAACTCCATTACCCCTCTTAATAGAATACTTGATATACTGACCTGGTTTGTATGTAATGACAACCCAACCTAGATTTGAATTACAGGTTGTCATTACATACAAGCTTCATTGTCTGTGCATCTTATCCTCAATCAGAGAGAGCCACTCTGAGGGTAGAACTAGAAGTTTCAATGAAAGGGAGGGATCACGGGAAAATTTCCAGTTTGAATTCAGCTCTTTACATGAGCAGAGGATTCTCTTTTTCAGCTTTAATAGAAGGTTATTTAAAGCTTCAACTATTTTGTTATTTGTGAAATTTAAATAAAATAACTGCTTTTTCATAGGATTGCCTTGAGTTTGAGAACCATAGGAAAGGGGGGAAAGGACCAGCTCATGATACTAGCAGGGGTTAAATACCCTTGCATAACTCATAGTCTGTTTTAAGGTTATGGAAGGGCTGTTCACCCCTCAAATAATCTCCAAGAGTGACATTTGCACGCCACACCACAGCAACCTATAGCTGGGTTTGCATATTCCTCACAGCAACTCCTTCAAGGCAGATTCACCCATAGGGGGCTGTTATGTTGTGCCAATATGCCCATAGTCTGAGTTGTCCTTACATTCAAGCCAGGCCGTGGTTATAGCTGTGAATGGATGACTCACTGACCTGAAGAGCACAAAAAAGGCATCCTTGATATATTTAACCCAGGGGTTATTAAAGTCCAGGTTCCTGAAATGCAAATCTAACTGTGCTAACAAACTATAGTTTGGACAATCTAGAAATAAGAGGCATGGCTTGCTGTTAGGTAGAGAATTCTAGGCTGAGACCTCTGGAATGAAAGCCAGTGCGATGTGGTGGTTAGAGTGCTGGACTAGGAGATTCAGGTTCTCGTTCCCACTCAGACAGCAAGTTCATTGAGTGCCTTTGGGCTGGTGACTTGCTCTCAGCCTGACCTACCTGACAGTGCTGCTGCCGTCAGAATAAAATGGTGAGGGGGAAGCCTATGTAAGCCACCTTGGGTTCCTCACAAGAGGAGAAAAGGCAGCATATACTGTAAATGCAAATTAATAATAATAACAACAGTACATAATATGTGGACTATAATATAATATGTGGGTTGTCATAATATGTGGCCCGTGTCCATGGCTGTATATGGCTTGTTTTGCAGGCAAGAATGGTTAGAAAAACCCAGCCTCTCTAAAGCCAGTACAACAGTTATACAAAGGCCTTCAGAATACAGAGGGAGAGTGAGCAGAGGAGGAAGGAATGAGGAAAGAAACCATGGTTTATTCAACTGTCTGTCAGACTGACCCTAGATATAGTAACAAAACTATAGGATAGTGTTTGTTTGTTTGTTTGTTTGGAGTTTTGATATGCCATCCCATTCGCATAAATCTCGGGACGGTTTCCAATACAATAAATAAACAGCATAAAAGCAATACATATTGAAATCCAGATTCACCCTGGCTGTAGAAATTAAAACCACTAAATAATACTACCTGTTATTAAAATATCATTTAAATAAAAAGGTCTTGGCCTGGCACCGAAAAACAAATAACGACGGCGCCAGGCAGACCTCTCTGGGGAGTGCATTCCATAAGTGGGGCGCCACCACAGAGAAAGCCCTCCTCCGGGTACACACCCTCCTAATGTCTTTCACGGAGGGTTCCCGGAGGAGGGCCTCTGTTGCCGATCTCAAGGGGCGGGAGGACAAATATGGAAGCAGGCATTCCTTTGGTTATGGGCAAACCAAATCACCATGGATTTACCTAATTTTACGACAAGCAGATGATCAAGTACTTTAAGTAAAGAAAGCTTACCCCATGTCTGCTAAAGCAAAAGTCACACAACTGTTCTTAACTCGGCCAGAATTGTGCAGCCATGCTTACCCCAGATAAGGGGCTGTCAACCCACAGCAGGGAACAGTCAGGGAACAGGAAGAAAGTATCTACTGGGGAACAATTCAAGTAATGTCAAAGGCAAACTTCTCAACTGTGCTTTGCAATGGTAAAGGGCCCATGGGGTTAATGTTACTAACGGCTACTGTCCACAGCTTATATGGTCTTTGTGTGGGAGTTGAACCACAAAGGTTGTTATATATAAACACACAGTACTTACTCTGCCAATCCAACCAGTTTTACTTTCCTCGATACGTTTTTTGTTCTGAAAGGGAGAGAGAAAGAGAAATTACTAGTGTTACAGTGGGTGTCTGTTCATCCATCTGCTTGCCCACTCCCTTGGCTAATGCAAGTTATTACAGCATATATATTTATTAATTCATTTGCTCAGTGACTTTCCAGTTAAGATTGATAAGCCCTTTAATACCTCAGGACATTGCCATGCTCCACTTTGCATATTGTAGTCACAGATTTCAAGTATACTAAAATTCTGAATTCTTCTGAGCCATTGCAAGCAGATTCTCTCATCGGTCACCCATGTTACAACACTCAGGTAGTGATCCCTGGAAATGAAGAGAGAGAGCTGGGCATCTATCAACATATGCACAGAAACCTGAGTTCCAAAACAAATCAGTTACTATTTATATTATACTGAACATTCAAGAAACTATAGCAGTTACAATACCTGCCTCATATAATTTAATGCTGTGACATGATTGACTTCAAAGAGCACATCCTAGATAACCATGTTTGTAAGATGTTTTTTTTTTCACTGTCAAACATCTGACAGAATAGCTAAGCCACTTTCCAGCTGAAAGGCAGTTTGCCTCTTCAGGAAGGTTTTTCCATGGCATTGAACGCTCTGCACCAAAGAGGGACAGCTCTGCATGCGAGTTTCAGTGATACAGTGAAGAGCTGCCTACTATATTCAAAACGAATAAGAAAACCCACATGGATACCAGCCGGGCACTGCACTCTACCTAATCAGCTTTGGAACGGGAACACTGTATTAATGCATAAGCATTTGGAGAGTTTGAGTCATTGGCATTCGGCATATTTACTCTCCACAAACCCCATTCATGGACCTGCGACTACTGCACCCCCACTCATCTGCACTTCAGACAAGGCAAAATGCAGGACCAGTAGAAGTGCAGTAATTTATACAGCCCAAAAGAGCAATGGTGCAAAAACTGTCTCATGCCTTCCCTATGGATGCAAAGATCCAACACGAAATGAGCTGCTGTGCTTTCTGGGGTTCTTTCCTGTGTTTAGCCCTGGCCTAGAAAGTGAGCTAAGCTGAGGAATGCTGAGGAACACTGAGGAATGCTATATGTGGGAAAACCCTTTTAGGTACCATTGTAAGAAATAATAGGATCTCCATGTGCTTACACATGTTACACTGTTAATCAATACATGCAACATCATTTCAGCTTTGCTATAGTATTAATACACATATGAAATGTAATTCCAGTTTAACACATGTTGAAAAGTGGTGTTTATTATATATCAATAGATTAATTCTTCACTAGGTTTTTTAATGTAAACCATCCCGAGACATCTGTGAAGGGATGGTATAGAAAAGTTTTAAATAATAAATAAATAATGCTCTTGACAGCATTTAATTTTTTTATTTCTACCTGATCCTCTTAAATTGTTATACCGTTGCCCAATGATACGAAAAAATAATGAAAACTTTCTCAAAAACAAAACAGATTAGAACAGTTATGCTTACCCTGCCATATTAGATGGAGCAAGAATTTCAGTGGAAGTGAAAATGGAATGAGACTCAGTATTCACAATAAATAGCCTTACAGTTGGATTTGTTGCACCTGCCTGAGAGAATTAAGATATTTTATGTCATGATGAAGTCTGTACAAATAATGTTGTTCATTATGAAATTATATAAACTTCAAAGAAGTGAAACACAACATATGAACAAAAACTATGCATAATCAAAGATAGACTGTATGAAATTTAAAATGCGCACAGGCGCTTTGGTAAAAATTACAAAGCCAGCACTTGACATTTAATGCAATCCATAAACAAACAGCATACTTTCTACTGCACATGTAAAAGCAAACATAAATTGTTGTGAAGGACTGCTCTTTGAGCGGAAACACTTTGCCAAATCGCACACATTTCTGGACTCGATGGTCACATCCGACTTCAGAGAGCAATAAACATTCCACCATCAGAATCAGCCAACACAGATACAAAATGCCAAGCAGCTTGAACAATGAGGAATCCAAGAAGCAATTCTGTTGCTTGGATTCTCCGCATTCTCTTCTTCCCATCGATAGGGAAAGGAAAATACGTCTAGGTGAGTACGACAGAGATGGAAAGGCTGACCCCGTGCATGTCATTTGTTTCCTAGGCTGAATCCCTCCAAGCTTTTCCTCCCATTTCCAGCCACATCCCTGTATTTTTTACGCACTGACCTGATTCACACAACAGTGAGCTGTGGTGGGTCGTACCACCCAAACACAGGCCACTCTCTTTAGGGTTGCTCGTTTTGTTTTGTGCTTTTCCCCCCAGCTAGTCTCCCTGAGTATCCATGGACTGTAGCAGGGCTTCTTTCACCCTGGATGGGTTGACATGTTGTCCAACCAGAATGCCTGTCCTCCCTGGAGGTCGTGGGCAGCAGGAACAACACCCTTGGCAAGAGCAGCAACACTCCTACCAGCTGCCTACCTGGCAGGGTGACCACCACTGGCTCCCTTCCCAGAGCTCACTGGGACTGGGAGACGTTTTGGTTCACCACAGCTTTTCCCCCCTGCTTTTAACCGTTTTTGTTTTCAGAGATCGTTTTTGTAATCCCTGCTTTGACAGCCATTGACAGCCCCTCCAAACTGCCGAACCAGCACATCTGAGGGACCACCACTGGTTTTCCATCCTGTTTAAAAAAAGGAGAAAGTGCCCAAAATGTGCACAAATTGTTTCATTCTTTTAGTATTTTTATTTCATTTTTTTAAATGCAAGTGATGCATTAAACAGAACGCAGTGCTCCAAATAAGCAAGCAACATGGCTATTAATACTGAATCCAGTATATACACTTAAAATGACTAATTTAAAAAAAATCATATATCTAAAATTATTTTTAAAATTGATGCACACACATAGTTACACAGAGAGTTTTTAAAAAATGTGAAATGCCAGCTTCAGCCACAAATAGGAGTTTATCAAGTCCACCTTAACAACTGGGCCAGGACCAATCAGAAACAAGGCCAAACACCGGCATGGATTAACGAGCAGCTATCTGTACTCCACAGCCAATCAAGCTGCTTCAGTAAACACCATGGCTGGTTTCATCTCAGCTTTTGTATTAATATCAGATTTTCAGCTGATCGATAAAAATGGCATCCTTCATCTTTCTCCTTTGCAGGCTTCATTCATCTGCTTGCCTAGAGTTCTTCACTTCAGTCACTCTGCCGGCGTCCTTCTACCTCACACAAAGTGACCAAGGTCTAGCATGTGTTCCACTATGCTGCATATCAGCTTAAGTGTGCCTCATATTTTTTTAGGAGGGGTCTTGCCATTTCATTAATGTAAAAGGAATTACATCCCAGACATTCAGTGTGACAACCTCAGCCAGTGCCTCCCTTACCTTCCGCACAGACAGGGCATTCTGGAGTACGGCATTTGTTGTTATACTGACTAGACTTCACAAGATGTTGCTGTAGGGTTATCAGGGCAGTACAGACTAGATTAGTCTCAATATTATGGGAGCCAAGGATTGTTTGGGTTCCCTGTGCAAACATGTCAGTCACAAATGGGATTTTCAGAACAGAGGACTGGTTACTTTGGAAGGGATGTTGGTGGCTATCAAAACAGAGACTGTGAAAACCAATTTCCAAAAAAGAGGGCTTGTTGGAGGTATTTTTATTACATATTTTAAAAAAAGAATCATGGGAAGAAGAAAAAAAGCTGTAGGCATGTTTACCTCAGCTCCCTCTACCACACACACCCACACACACACACCCCTACTCCACAGGACAATGAGAGTGTGTTTCTGGACACTTCATCTTGCCTACTAAGACGAGGAAATGAAAAATGTAGATCATGAATTAATACCCTGCAGCCTTTATTTTTTTGTTACCCAGAGGGGAAGTGAGGTGGCCTGCTGTACTGGGGAAGGGATGCTTTGTGTGACTCAGTTCCACCCACACAATGCATTTATCCACAGAAATTCCAGCAATAGTCCACACAAATATGCATGCCTGTTATTTCCAATGGAAAAGAAGGACAAAGAAGGAGATGGTAATCTTGAACTGGCCAAAAAATGTCACTTTGCCCATCTACTATACGTATGTCATAACTGGAGATGGGGCGGGGGGACTTCCTTTCCACAAACCCTGGTCCTAAGACTGCTTAGCTGCCCCTGTGCTGCTTACATAAAACCGGCCATGCATCCCAACTGCGTTAATACAATCGAGCCATGGCTGTTTCAATTCAGAGAAAACGAGAGAAAGAAACAGAATTTCAAGGCAAAAAATTTGTGCAGGTAAATGCACAGTCCAACAGGACAAAAGTTTATTAAGAGGTCTGATATCCTTAAAGGAGAACCCGAGTTACAGATGATCATGTTTATGTCCAGGCAAACACTCTTAACTTAAGTAGCATTACAAGTGAGCTCTATGCAGCGAGTATGAGTTAGAAGTGTGTTTTTACCCACATATTTTGATGTTCCGCAAGTTATGAAAAGCCTCCTTTTTTCAAAGAAGGCTATGTAACGCAAAGGTACAGTCAGATGAAAAGCAGTTTTGAGTTGTTATTTCAGAGGCAACAGCTTTCAGTAAATGCTGGTTCATGGTGAAAGCACAAAACAGTTCTCAACGTTAATTTTATGTTTACATTAAACTTAAATAAATATTCATCAAGGTCTAGTGTAAAATTTTCATCTCTGAAAAAGTGACTTGGAATGGCATTCCTGAAGGTACACATGAAGCTAAATTCATGTTTACCTTTGCTTCTGTTATGCTAAAAATATATGGTAGATGCAGGGGATGCCCTCCTTGGCAATCCAGATTGATACTGCAGCCACTGGTGGAAGGGGTTTAAACCTGTCCTTCCCAAGTTGTTATCCAACAAAAATAAGCTAACAAACTTTTATTTGCCTTGCAAGAGAAATGTTTTGTGCCAATACAAATTTACATATTTTATTTTTATTAAAATTAATGTATTTTATGGTATGTTCTTTGTGAACTGTCTTAGATCCTTTTAATCTTGTAAACAGTATATAAATCATAATTGGCACCTTCTCTCCCAGGGCAAGCAGCAGGTTTGGGAGTAAAAAGTAATTTTCATCAGGACCATAAGAAAAAATGGAGTTGTTCAAACAGAAAGACACTTCTCAGATAGCAGGTAGTTTGCTCTTAGAAAAAAATAATTTTACTGGATCATCTTAATTTTTGTTAGGCCAAGCATTCTCAGTCATGCAGTCCTGCATAATATATCAGAGAATATGATACGAGTGCATATCACATATCGCATAGATGTCCAACAGCCCCCAAACTCTTTTAAGCAAGTAGGATGGGTGCTATAGAAAACCATGGGAGAAAAGCATATTGTCCTTCTTCCAATGATCACCCAAACACATTTCAATAAAGCAATTCGGAAACTTAAGAATCCCTAAGTCTTAAAAATTGCACTTATTTCCTGTTTCCCCAGAGAGAATAGAACATTTCAGTGCTGCCAGATGCTATTGACTTAAGTCACAGTAATCACTGCAAGCTGTTGAGGAGAGACAGACAATATTTTCATTAGCAGCAACTGATTAAATGTGACTATACTGTTAATCAAAGTGCTCAACAACTATGTTTAATAAATAACACAGACCTTAGGATATGGGATTCTGATGGTCCTTGGATATTGCAGCGTATCTTCTGAATAAAAGGAATACTCAATAACTGGAACATCGGTATCGTTAATCTCCGCATATGCTAAAAATCTGCCATTTGGAGACCACCACAGAGCCGAATGGGTGCCAAACATTTCCTCTGAAAGAAATGCAAATGTGTTCTTTTGAAGCAATTGTTGGCTTCTGCTTCCGAAACATTGTTCTTATTAATCTGTATAGAATTTCAGATGGAAGTTTAGCAACTAACATTCAGATTACTTGCCTGATCTTGCAACCAATACAATAATTTTTTTAAAAAAGCCTTTTTATGGAAATATTATGCTACAAAATCTGGTTTCAATAATGAATGCAAATTATAGCCGCTTAATTTATCATGGATTTTAAACACCATGACTAATCGTCATTTTGAACATCTCTAAATTAATCTTCCTTATAAGACACAGTCAAATGCACAGGCATTTCCTGTTTTCAGTCATGCCTTCAGTCCCTTCCTGGCAATTGAACTTAACAACTGGTGAATGCATTAAAACCTCTGGATTACAGTCATTATATACAAATGCAGTTGTAAAAAGTAAAAGCTATAATATCATTTCAGCTTAATTTTCCCACCATGATTTGGAGAATCATGAATGAGTCAGGCTAAGGCTTGGTTCTGGACGCAGCCCTCTCCACCCTCTCCATGTGCTTGGTGATTAGACTCAGAATCTTCCACCTCTAATCTGAAGAGCAAACCATAGTTTGTGCTTTCATCTTGATCTGACAAATTATAGCTTACAAAAATGTGAGGAGACCAAACAAGGTTGAAACTGCGGTTTGAGAAGCTAGTTTATTATAAATTAAGGTTTGCCACAAGTCAGAAAAAAATCTAATCTTCTCCGTTGTGCATGAAGAGACAGAGGGTAGAGGAAGCCTATGAGATAGAGATTCACTATAAGTCATTCTTATTATGTCAAACCAACATTTCATCTGCAAGCAGACACTATCTAATAAAAAGACTATACTGGAAATATTGTATATTTTCTACATGACACTTACCTTCATAGACCCAGTCTGCTAATCCATTAAAAATTTTGTTTTCTTCTCCATTGGTGGTGATATTTATATGTGGGCTATCTGGTGTCTCCTTCACATAAATATTGTTATGCCAAACAAAAGCCTGTAATAAACAAAACATTAATATACACACCACCAGCTAATGTTAATTTTATAGTCCTTTACTCTTGGATCGACATTCCCCAACCAATCTTCACATCTACATTAGTAGTTCGAAACATACTAAAGCACGTGGAGGGCAATGGACTGGGGAAATTGGTGTATTGGTGGACCTTTTCCCATTTACAAATTAACAACAAACTGGAAATCTTCTTGCTGCATTTGTACATTCAAGATTTCCAGCTGCCTCATTCTATCCCACTCCCACCAGCTGGTCAGTCCCTCCTGCCTCCATGTCAGTCAATGTTGCATGCTGGGAACTCCTTAGGGGGCTGTTAAGGCTTTTCCTGAAGATTCTGCAGGTGTCTGCAAATCTCAGAATTATTCCAAGTTTGCTGCTACTTCTCTCGTGAGGGTGAATGGTTCAGTGTGAGCTGCATGAGTATCAAGATGGGAGACCCAAAATGGTGTAAGGAGCAATGAGGATATGGGTCGGCTTGCGTGACTTTCACTCACCAGTTTGTGACCAACAGGTGACCAGGAGATATACTGGATATCCTGTGGAAGTGGGTTGGCTGTAATTAAGGAGCTAGGGAGACAAGGAACCACAAAGAAGCAAGTCAACATAACATGGTCTACACCGTAATTCTAACACTTGGATAAGGCAGTGGCACAACTTACTTATTGACTATATTGTAGAGGTGGTAAGATGCATTGTATGAATGTCTCCACACCTGAAAAAGAAATGTTTGTATATAAAGGAAAACGCCTGAACAAACTAAAAGGTACCTCAAGCCTGCATTAAAAATAAATGAATAAAGATCATGCCCAAACCATGTTCTCGTTATCTACACTAGATAATATTACCTCAAGGCAGCCTTTCTTAACCTGCTGCCTTCTACATTTTGGACTACAACCCCTAGCATTACTGACCACTCACCATGCTGCATCAGACTAATGGGAATTGCAAAGCACCTGAAGAGTAACAAGCTGCAGAAGACTACCAAAGGTCATGGGAACATGTGCTTGGGCATGGTGAGGGCACCTACAGATGGCCAAGCTTGGACAAATGGTTTAGAAGGACATCAACAAGCCTCAGGCGTATGCACTCCCTACTCCCTTGGCATGGTAACAAGGAGATAAAAAGATTTAGCTTCTGTTTTCAGTTATCGGAACTTTAGTGTGACATCCGAACCCTAAGCTGTGGTGAACACTAACAGTGGCAGCCTCCCCCACCCAGGACTGCTCCAGATGGTTTGGACTACAACTCCCATACTCCCTCACTATTGCATATGCTGGCTACAGCAGTCCCATCTGGGAAGCCACAGGCTGTGTGCTCTTGCCCCAAGCAGTAGTCAACCCTTTTCTGAGTTTAGATATAACTAACTCTAATCCTCATGAGTTTTGCTGGAGAAGGAGAGAGGAGAGGAGAGGAGAGGAGAGGAGAGGAGAGGAGAGGAGAGGAGGACTACACAAGCCCCTGTGACTCATTCACATTCTCATTAAATCAGAGCAGGGGTTCCCCCAGTGTGTGTACTTGTGCCTGTGAATAGCTTTCTATTCAGACAATTAAATGCGTCCCTTCTAAGTAAACCCACTGGCACAGCTTTTACCACACCTTTATTAGCAATTGATAAGGCCTAAATAAAATGGCTTTGTTTCACAGGGTGCCTGCTGGTGACACAAGTCATGCTTTCCCCAAGGAAAACTAGAGCTCTGGCTGGTGGGGAATGCTGGGAGCTGTACTCCAACACATCTGCAGGCCACCCGGCTGCAGAAGGCTGTTCTAGAAGAAAACAGCAGCTGATGTGGTAATGGACGTGTCTTAGGAGTGAAGACATTTATGATGATGCTGGTGGTGATGCTCTTTCAGATACAATATTTTTCTTCCAAAGACTGGCTGCTTCAGATCCACCAAGGGTGCTTTCTGCTTTGCCATACAGTTTAAACCCCTGGAGATTTATGGTCCCTGCATTATGGTCGAATCTAGAGCAACTAGAACTGGAAATAGCAACCTACTATCACACATACAGGTTTTAGCTTTTTAGCACCTCAGAAATCTATTTCCCCTAATACTTCTAACATAAGGGATGTCCTCAAAAACCTTTCTTATAAGATATGATAAAATAGCCTTGTGGCTATCTGTCAAGAATTTCCTTCACTAAAACTAGGTAAGTCTTATGCAGAAGACTTCAAGGCTGAATCTGACCAATCTCATGTGTCAATGGAATAGCATCATAAGATAATTTCTGGACTTTGAATTCTGATATTATTACCTGTGATTTGTACCTTGTCACTCACTTTTTCAGTATGTCGTTTTGGATGGTGTCACTCTACAGAGCGGCTTGAGAGGCTTTAAATAAAGACAGCCCACTGGAATTTGCTTGCTTTCTTCCAAGCCATGCCCAGTCATTTGCTTACGGTAACAGGGAACTCATCCTCTTTGATTGCACATGCAGTCCTATTGCTGGGCTTGGACTAGAAAGTTCCCCTTTTTTCCCTTAAGTGTTTTTCTCGGCTGCCTCACTGCCAAACTGATTGGGAGATTTCACCGTGACATTCCTCAGATCTCTTACTTCAGGGGCAAGTTCCCTCCCCTCCTCTGCCATTTAATCAAGCTAGGAGCCCACCTATCCTGACCACATCTAACGTAGACAAAAACCCTCTATTGTTCACAGTCAGAAGCAAGGAGAATGTGAAAAGATCAAAGTGTGATAGCATGGTAGCACAAAAGTACAGCGTTGTTGACGAGGAACACTAGGAAATAGCATTGATTCTTCCTGGATTAACTGCTGGACCAGTTATTCATAAGCCAGGCAGGTGAGTCAGAAATTGGTACCAGAGCACCTCCAGCAAAGCAGTATCTCTGTGGAGTAATGGCCAATTTGGTGTGCAACTTGGTGCAATGCAGGGTAATAAACCAAAAAGTAGTAGCAATAAGCCAGTTCTGAGCCACCTAAAGGCTGAAGTGAATTAACACTATAGAGGACCTGAACTTTTTCTATGGATACAAAGCAAATTCACAGAAGACAAAATTAGAATCTCATTGGTACCTTCTCATAACGGTATCGCAGGAGAGCGTATTTCTGGTCAGGTGACACTATTGCCTCAGAGCTATTGTAATTGGCCTGTTGACATAATTTTTTAAAAAAGCATTAGAGAACATAAATGTTCTGGAAGAAAGGAAAGTGCTCCACCTCTAACTCTCTTGGAGAGCTGATAACATGCAATATTATTGCAACTTACTAATGTACCATCTGCTATGATTTTAGTCTCTGTTCCATCATTAGCATTGATGAGAAAGACGTTTCTCCCCTTAGTGTGGAGATACTGATTCTCTAAGGAGGAAAAAGAAGGAAGCCATTCAGCACATCATGTCAAAAATCATGCAACTATTTGTGCTGTCCAATATCATACAGTGTACATGCACAACATTCAGGAATTCAAGTATCATAAGCAGTGCTACGTGGTTAGACAGCCCTTCATTTCACTATTCCATGTAGCATCATATGGAAGATGTCGCTGGAGCTGTTGCCGTTCATCTACCAAGTCAAATTCAGGATACAGCAGGGGAGAAAGGTGAGATCGCTTGGACTGGTATGTGGCAATGTTTATTAGAAGATATGCAAGAGCTCCTCTGCAGAAAGAGGAGAACTTGGAGAGGCTGGTTCATTGAGAAGCTGCCACTATTACAAGGTTTTAGAGGGAGGTAAAACAAGGACCCATCATCCACAAATATTATTTTAAAAATCTTAGCCTAGATTAGTTGTTGTATGCCTGGCAGTGTCAGTGGCTGGCTAGGGATGCACCATGTTCACACAACAGACAGTGCAGTGTTTGAAGGAAGGATGCCTCTGAACACGTGGCAGCCACACATCTGGAAGCGACGCCTTCCAAAGCTCCTAGCCTAAGCAGGTATTTACCGTGTGTTTGCACTTCTTTGTTTGTGTGTACATGGTTAATATCTGTTAACTTAATCGGATGTACTACAGAAAGCATCTGCTCACCTGAAACCCACTGCAAGCTGTATGTCTCATATTGAAATTTATCACTCAAATAATCCTGTAGCGTAAATGTCACTCGGGAGTCAGGAGTACCTGTCAGCAAAAGCGAAGGGGGATTGCTTGAGTTAGAGCTCACCTTCTCAGTATCGTCTGTCATACTCCTATGCCAAATAAAACGTTTGCAAATAAAAAACCTGGATTAAATTATGCTTGCAATATCCCATGATGTTTTGAATGTGCAATGTTACTGTGACCTATCATGATTTCCATTCCCACTCCCAGCACTCCTTAAAAGAAAAGAAGTAAAGCTGTTGATTTCTCTTTCTTTAATAGACTGTTTCCGGAGTACAAAAACGCCTGACATGTCTTGCTAGCAATAAAAAAAAAAAAAGATGAGTATGCTAGCAAGTTCAGATAACAGGCACTAACAGTTATCATGTACTGTGGGGTAAGACTAAAAAGCAAATGCACAGTATATAATTGAACACACAAATTAATCTTGCATACATTTTCCCGACACATTTCCATCCCATTTGCCTCCATACTTCAAAATAAGGGAACAAATACACTGAGATTAAGAAAGGTTTTACTTCTGGTTTTTTGTACCTCTTCCATGGTCTTCTTTCGTAACAGAAGGGTGAATAATAGAGAAATGGAACATATCAAATGTACTGAACTTTATGGCTGCAATAACCATTACCATATCTGCATGCTATCAGGTGTGAATAATGGGGAAATAATAAAAATATGACTAGGATCAAAGGTACAGTTGAAGATAGCATTCTCATAACCACCTGTAATGAATTATTGAGAGTGTTAAACTGGATGAACAGGACACAAATTATCCTAGCATCAGGGGAAATGGGTGCAATTAAACAGCAGAGAATTCTTATTCAGGATCTTTCACTCTGCCTATTGTAAAATAGAGAACACCAGGCTTTCAAATAATCAGTCTAATCCCAATCATATGACCTGCTGTTGCAGCAAACCTATACTCCAGGGACTCAAGATCAAAAGCAGGAGGCCAGATCAGCCAGCTTGCTTGCTTGCTTGCTTGCTTGCTTGCTTGCTTGCTTTATTTATTTATTTATTTATTATTTATTTATTTATTTATTTATTTATTTATTTAGAAAGCTTCTATGCCGCCCTATTTGCCGAAGCCTCGGGGTGGCTTACAACAATAAATAAATAATAACAATATAAAACAATATAATATAATTGGAGACATCCTAGCCAACATCTTATAATGTCCCAATGAAGTTACCATGTGTGAACCAAGCAAGACGGCCACAGGTGTGGGGCAAGAGATAGTATTTTAACACCCCCCAGGAAAGAATCCTCCATTATATATTAACAAGGTGAAACAAAGAAGGGATGATGAGCAACACTCAGTCTTGTCCTTGTGAAGAACAGCTCACAAGAAAAGGAAGCCTTTTCTGCACAACATGTCTAAAACACGAACACCGGGAAGACAGCGTGCCCTTGTCTCTGCCATGGGCAGAATAAACCAGGCAGCACCCAAGGCTTACCTTGTATCGAAGGCAGCAACTCTGTGGGGCTCAGAGTGCTTCTAGACAAGGCTTTTACCACGAAATTGCCCTGCCTCATTCACACAATCATTCAGGGGTTCTGGAAGATTCTCTCTTCCATTGTGATCTAACCACTAGTCTACTAGTCCCAATGTTTGGGATGGGAGGGAAACAAAAGGAAGCTAGGTGGAAAGGGAAGACAAGCTCTCACTTATCATTTACAAGTAATACATTACATTTATACCTCTCCTTTCTTCCATTTGCAAACTAAGCCATAGTGGCTTACAAGGTTTTCTTCCTTTCTATTTCATCCTTCTACAACAACCCTGTGAGGTAGGTTAGGCTGGGACTCTTTGAATGGCCCAAAGTTTGCTCCATGGACCTGGATCCTCTAGGTACCTAGATCAACACTCCAGCCATGTCTCCACAGTGGCTCAGGTACTGGGTCCAGAAGATATTGCTTCATCTGGCCTTTGGAGTCTCATTCTTCTGGAGTTATTTCGATAAGGTTCAGTGACTCTGTCATGCCAAAGTAATGTTTGTTTCAGTATAATACTTTTAAAATCGTAACGCACAGACGGCCGTTCCCTAAAGACATTTAACTTTGCAGGTCTAGAGAAGTGAACTGATTCTGAAGGGTAGTGGCCTCAAAAATTTACTATTATAAAGGGAGCACACATGCTAGGAAACCTCTGAACTCTGGCTCTGCTTTCATTGCCATGTCTGTCTTCAGGAGACACCGATCATTTTTTCTTATTTCCCCTTTATCTTCCCACTCTTCCTTTTGCAGGAAATTAGGATCATTTAAATAAGGAGTCAATAGGACAAAAAGGAAATAGTGCCTGTGTCTCATGTATAAAAAATACTCACAATATCAATATGCTACAAGATATAATTATGCCGTACTTTCCAGAAAGTGGATAGATGCATTAACACTCTTTTTTATATTATGCCATGAACTCATTACATGATGAGAAAGCAGAAAAGTTTCTATAGTTAACTCTGGCCAGGGAAGCAAAAGCTGTCTTAGTAAGTATGTCTAAAATGCATTCTACACTTTCTGTGGAAACTGAAGTGTGACTCACAGAAATATGTGAGCAAGAGTTCTAAAAAGCCACATATTTTACCAAGGGCAGCTCTGCAGCCCAGCAAGGCACCTCAGTGCACAAATAGAAATAGAAAACATATTTGTATTTCCAGGTGATCGTCTTCTAGTTTGCAGGGGAAATGATACTCCTGCCATGCAGCTGTGACCTTACAATGTTGCTATCAGTTGGAGTTGACAGCTGCAAGGCTCAAAGTTTCATGGGTCTGACCGACTGTAGGGCAGCTTCTTGTATGGAGAGGGGCACAGTTCAGCATAAGCTTTGCATTCCCTGTGTTAAATTCTGGGTCAGGCCCTGGAGTCCCCGGTAGACAAAGAAAGTTGGTAGCTCTGCTTATTAACTGTGAACCAGAGAAGTTGGTAGCAAGCGAGAGACAGATGAATGGCTCAGTGTAAGGCAAGTGTGGCAAACGGGTGGCCCTTCAGAAATTGTTGGACCGCAGTTCCCATCAGTACCAGGCAGAATGAACACTGGTCAGGGGTGACAGTCCAAGAATACCTGGAGGGGCACCAATTCCCCACCCCTGGTATCAGATAACATCTTCATTTTACAATGTTGTATAACTTAATGCTATTTGTGTCTTAGAAGATCATTCATGAAGGACTTTCTTGTAATAGTAAAGATACAAAAGTTACAGAAGTTACCAAATAATATCTGAAAAAATAAGAGTGTTCAGAGTCCCTTATGCTATAAGGTCTACTCAAAAGGCAGTCCCCTTTATTTCAGTGGGGCTAATTCCCAGGAGAACCTGGAGGAATGTTGTCCATGGGGTTGCGAAAAGCTGGGCACGACTTTGCGAATGAACAACAACAACTCCCGGGTCAATGTGTCCCTGCAGCATTAACATGGCCCTTCAGTGGGCAGCACTCTTCAGGAATGAATGCAGCCTCGCCTGCAATTACGTTAGGTGGAAATCTAACAAAACAGTACGAAACTGTAATTCTCACGGCTCAGACAAAGTCTGCTGCTTGCACAAACCTGTCCCTGGAGCTTTTAAAACTGCGAGGCTCGCCTACTCTTTGGGCAAAACCACGATCCTCTCCAGATAGCAAGCACATTTCATTCCTGGCTGTCTTTGACTTTCCCAAACCTTCGCGTCAAACTCAAACACAATCCTTTGCTCTTTCTCTACCTTATAGTCCAGATCAGTGGTTCCCACACTGTGTGCTTGGGCACAGCACACAGCTGTGTGAGACATGTCGTGGGCTACAGCACAGTGATTGTTTTACTTGTATGCATCTCCTAGCCTTCCACAGCAATTGTGGCACTTAGGGCAGCTTACAACAGTTTGAACAAACAAATAATAAAAGCCAACATATGTTAAACAAAGCAGAAAACAACAAGAATCAAAACCAGCAGTAAGAACAGCAAAAGGTGCAGCAGATAAGACCAATCTAAAAATCGAAGTGTTTTGGTGCAGTAGCTTACCACGTGAAATAAATTATACAGTTGAAAGTTCCTGAAAGTCAAAAACACCTCTCCAGAGAAGAGGTTGCCTGCTGCGACTCTGCATGATCAATCAGGAGAGCAATCTTATGGCCCCTAGAGAGTAGCTGTGGTGCCACAGGATGTTTCAGCGCTGCTTTGTGCCCATAGACAGAGCTAAGAGCAAAGAAGAGAAACTCTGAATGTGGCTCTTCCTTCCCCACCGCCTCCTCCGTTCCATGCGACCACAGAATGCTTCCCTTATAAGGCTGCACAGAGCCATCCACCAACCATGCCCTTTTTTGTATTTTAAATGTAGGAAGTACAGCAGGGCATAGGATGGATGGAGGATTCTGAACACAGAACCCTTTGTGTATTAGGAGTACAAACGACGATTGCAAGCCATAGGATTGACATCTAAGGTCGTAGCAGTGTGCTGGACTGGGCCTCAGGTTCTGGTCCCCACTCAGCCATGAAGCTCACCCGGTTTCTTTGGGCCGGTCACAGATTCTCAGTCTAACCTACTTCACTTGGTTGACTGTCATGAGGAGAAAAACAAGAACCTTGCAGGATGCCTCAGGTTCCTTGTGGAGAAGAAAGGTGGGTGCAACTATAATGCAATAGTAATAATAATCCTCCCCACACTTACACTCAGCTGACTTCAATCTGATTTACTTCTCAGTAGTTTACATGGTATGAGAGTACAGTCTTATGCATGTTCAGACAAAAAAAATGAGTCCTACAGTTCCCAGCATTTGCCAGTCAGCTCACAGTAGATCCTATCCATGTTGAAAGTACAAATTTGAATACGTAACGAGCTCCAGACAGCGCTCTAGAGAAAGACACTCACCTAAAAAACCTGGGAAACTGCTGCATGTCAGGTAGCACTTGCCTGGATGGGCCAACGCCCAGTAGGACAACTTCCATTATTCCAAGTCTAGCACAGACTATGGCCTAGCCCAGGAGTCGGCAACCTTCAACACTCAAAGGGCCATTTGGACCCATTTCCCACACAAAAGAAAACACCGGGAGCCGCAAAACCCTTTTGCCATCTAAAATGAAGATAACACTGCATATATCGTTTTTTACCTTAATGCTATGTATATCTTCATTATGATTTAGCTGCAGCTCTTGTTCAGTCACTAAAAACTGTTATTTTTAATCTTACATTATAAACTAGTAGGACTCCTTTTATATATTTTGAATAGGAGAACAGCTTCCTGAAGAGTCAAAGTCAGTGCTAAAGGGCTGCGTGCATTAAACAGCAAACCCCATAAGTTCATCAGCAGTAAAAGCAAATGAATCTACCCACGTATCATTAAACGTTTGGTTTTCTTCAGAAACTTTTCTTTTCTTCGATTTATCCATGGTTGGCCCACGGGGATAGGGGTGGGGGGCTCAGTAAATCGGCACGGGTCCACAGATCAGCAGCTGTGCCAGATCAGCGGCTGTGCCAGAGATATATGTGTGTTTAGTAACTGATTAGCAGATAAACAGTCAAGGGCTGTGAATTGTGATAGGTCACAAGCACAGCTTTTACATTCAGATAAAGGAGATTACATTGGGACAAAGAGAATCTTTTCAGCAGCGTTTCGTGTAACGCATGTTTCGTGTAACATGAGAGCCTGCAGGAAGCTTGTTTAGCAAAGGAATGTAGCAATTACTTAACTAGCTAGCGCTGCATTCCTGAGTGGAGCTTCGAGCAGATCAGCGGCTGTGCCGGGACGTGTTTTGAGCGACGGAGCCGCAGCAGAGGGGTTCAAGAGCCACGTGCGGCTCCAGAGCTGCAGGTTGCCGACCCCTGGCCTAAACTATACATTACGTATTTAACCCCACATGCAGCTGATACTCACTTTCTTTCTCTTTTTACCTCAGTGTAAGCAAGCAGGGACCTACCTCCTATAGGATGATTAAACCTCTTCCCTCCCACACTTAAATTTGGAGGGGCAAAGAAGGAGGGATAGATCCATGATGGGTTGTTGTGTTGGGCAAACTCTGTTTAAGTTTTTAATGCAGCTTAGCAGCTTTATGTGCAGGTTAGTAAAGAAAAAAGAAAAAAAGGAAGAAATTGAGGATGATCCACACACTGTATTTAACAGAACACGTAGTCTAGTCTAAAGTAAGCAGTTTAAACTGTACGGACAAGGTATGCCTCTAGTGTGTGTGTGTGTGTGTATGCATTAGCTCTTGGAAATTTTGGAAACAGTAATTACTTCCTAAGCCGGCCTGGGGCTTAGGAAAGGCAGTCTCCCGGTGCAGCAGCTCACTGAGCACATACGCTGTGCTGCTGCTTGTGCAGAAGCTGTCCAACGGGCACAGAGAACTCCCGACAGAACACAAAGGCCCAGGTTACTTGATCACCTCCGTCAATCATGCCAGGCAGTTCCTGATGATTCAAGCTGCCAACACAGATTGCTGTGCCATCCTAACCCAGGGGTTGTGGGTTATGCAAATGTTAGATGTGTTATTGTATGGTGAATCTGTGAGTTTCAGCAGGAAACTGCAGAATGCTCTCTATAACATGTAGGGTTTAAAAGGAGGCTGCAAAAAAACAAAAACAACAAAGATCATGCACCAATGAGGAAGGAGGAGGAAAAAGAAGAGGAGAATGCGGGACAGGGAGAGTATTAGGAATTGCAGGAAACTCAGAGCAATCCAGATAACTTGGAACATCTTTATGTAATCTTGATAAATACCCTTTGCACTCCTTCACCATTAATGAAATATCCCGTATTAACCAAAGATTAAGAATGCACTTGTAATCTCAAACAAGTCTAAGTAGGACCAAAGTCCATTCTGATCATGCGTTCAGTACAGCTTGTCGGTACTTTTGCGTGTGTGCCTGAACATTTTACTTGGGTTTATAAGAAATTACCAGATGCAAATGTTTCAAAGGAGAACAACACATCTTGCTAAATTCATCATCATTCCAATGAGATACTGATAAAGACCTGCATTGGTTGGGCTCTACAAGAAGAATGCCAAAGAGGTTATTAAGGTTCAACGGGAAGTATAGTGAACTTTCCCACTGTCCAAAAGTCAGGGGAGTTTTATGGAGCCATGCCAAGGCTTTATGGCCTTTGACTTAATGTGAAGAGAATTGCCTCAAAGTTGTTTTTCCAATAAAGTAAGAGCGGCTTTTAGCTATGAGAACACTGCTTTCTTTACTGAAGCACTTCTGCCCATAAACATACAGTATATACCAAGAAGCTGCATTCAGATAAATAAACTGATTGTACTTCCAAAATAAGAGATGCACTAAAGAGGAAAGTCTTTACTTGAATGCCTGTTCATAAAAGCTCATGTCAACAGAAGGGGGGTTTCACAATTCTAGGGCCACTACTGAGAAAGCTCCCTCTCTCACATGCTGCACCTTTATTTATTTATATGCCATGTTTTACCTTTCAAGAAATTCAAGGCGGCTTACAAAATCCTCCTCCTCCTCCTCCTCCTCTCAGTCTTTCCTCACAACAATCCTGTGCGGAAGATTGGGCGGAGAGTCTGTGACTGGTCCAAAGTCACCCAGTGAGCTCTATGGCTGCATGGAGACGAGAACCCACATCTCCTCAGTCCCAGCCCAGCACTATTAACCACTGCACTATACTGGCTCCTATCCTAATGGCATACACTCAAGAAGAAGCCATAATGCAGACGTTATCACGTGGCTGAAGGGCAGTTAGAGCCTTAAATGTTAAAACCAGCTGTCTGAATTGGTCCTGGTGGCTTACTGGCAGCTGACAGATCATGGGCATTTATCTATTGGATGTTATTTTACCAGCTGCAGCTTCTGGACCATCTTCAAAGCAGCCACGCTGTTTGCCCTAAAGCACTTTGCAGCGATCCAGTTAGGACATTATGAGTACATCACTAGCTGAGTACATCACCAGGTAGGGTCACAGGTCATTTGCTTCTAAAAAGCCTGTCTGTGCCTCACCTGTGTGAGTCAGTGACAAGCTGTGCACCTTAGTCTTCCCATGGAGAGCAGCCCTATCCAGGACTGGCTTCATATCATTATTGAGACCTGCTGCCTAACTAGCCCACTTATCCTTCAACTTCCCCACCTTTAGCTTCATTTTGTCCTCCCCCATCAATCTCATCACCACATTCAGACACTAGTCCAAGTGTTCCACTGCCTGAGGATGAGCGGCAAACTCCTGCCTTCACACTGGTGGTACTGAAGCCCAACAGGTACAGGTACCCTACAGGTAGTAAGTGGCAGCATGTTTTGGATTCTGACAATAGCCAAGCAATTATTTTACAGGCAAACAATGCCTGGAGAGCCTCTGCAGGGTGGTTCAACTGTGGTCACTGACCCTATGAAACTGCCTTACACTGAGAAAGGGCTTTGGCGTGTAGGGGAAGAATGGGGCGTACAAGCAAGTGGCACAGCCTACTACAGATGGGTGACATTCAGCACTTTGGTCATCCAGAATTTGGCTCAACAAACCAAGTTTTTAAAAAGAAAAGACGAAAATCAATTCTATTGACTCCATTAATTTGTGTTCCTACTGTAACATGTAGCTTGGTTTATAGCACCTTGTATTGATGCTTCCCTTTCCAGATCATCAGTTGGTCCAGAGCCAATGATAAGATTGGAGCCATGTTGTTTTCGCAACAGTCCTTAACAGAAAAAATCCTTAGTAAAAATTTCAGCACTGTAATGCACAGTGGAACATTGGTTTTATTCCTGTTATATAACTGATCCCTTCAAATACAGAACATGAACAGTTATTATATTTCCAGATGTTAAATGCCCCATCAGCCTC